TAGCTCCTACACTGTAGTGACTCCTGATCTAATGTCAAACTCTCCCTTTGATTCGTAACCATACATGTACACCAGCTAAGTTGAGTTAGGAGAATCTAGTAGTTTATCAACAGTCATCTGGGGCTTTTTGTTTTTAATAGCTGTTATTTTAACTTTTGGTTTCAATTTTCTGACAGTATTATAAACACAGAAAAACTTTCAAAGAAGTTCTTCAACAGGAGAAAGCTTTGGATGAAGCAAGGAAACGGGAAGCCATGCATGCAACTAAAATGAGTAGAGTACAGAAACAGGTGAAAGTGACAGTAAATTGTAGATTTTAGAACATTGCTATTCTTCTAATAGTCTTTCTGCTTGGGTACAGTTTAATTCTCCTTGTTGGGTAGGACCTCAAGATAATATTATTGCAAACTTAATGACAGACTTTGGTATTTTATCTGATTGCAGGTGTAAGCATTGCATCACACAATCCACAATTTAGTTGGACTTTGTCCAATGACCAAGTACTGTTTGCAGCTCTGCTACTAACGTACCTTGATACCTTCCTTTTATACATTTTTTTTCTCTTTGTAGCTGGATCAAAGCAAAAGAAAGAGTGATCCAAGAGGAAGACCAAGAACAATATCAAATGAAATGGTTGAGGTAATTTTTAAACCTTTCTTAGACTTGACTTTATTAAACTGTTTTGGTTTACTGACATTCCGTATACTGCCTTCACCCATGCAGGAGTGAAGTTTAATATCTTTTTTAAGGGTTTCATAACCCTCCAAGTTAAATTTTTTGTTTGGTGGTCATATGGCGACCATGAACTCTTTAGGTTTAGTTGCCAAAGGATTTTTTTTGGCACCAAAATATATATCAATAGTTAAAGTTTTAATTATTGGTTAATCATAAATTTGGGCTTAAGAATGGTATTGTTCAGCCAAAACAATGTTTCTAAACAGCATTTCCCGTATGTAATTCACAAGTGTATATGGTAACTTAAGGTTATAATCCATGTCGAGTAACATCCATGTTATTTCTTCAAGTATCAGGTTTCTCTGGTCGCCAACTTGGTGACTATTTTCCAAATTAAGACGCCAGTACCAAAATGTTAGTTGCCATGGCACCTAAAGTGGTTGCAGCTTGGAGGGTATTTTCAACTACCATGTATTTTTAATCCAACTTCTCAGTGCAATGGCTGACTACCTTATTATAGGAAATTAACACTCCATGAAATTAAGGTATTGGAAATTAACGCGACTTAAATTAACGCGAATTTAATGGAAAACGACTTTCGAATAAAAAAAATTAACGCGAAAGAGGAGGTAGAGTTTCATATTAAAGGAAATTAACGCGATTAAGACACAGTTGGTGGTGACAACTGGAACAAATTTATTTCAACAATGGATGCAAAAAAATTCAAAATTGAACAAAACTGAGCTGACATTTCTTCTGACTGCGACAATGATGAAGGATGAACTCGAATGTTGTAAACCTTTGCCTTAACTTTTGTGAAAGATGAAAAATAGAGGGTAAATGGAAAGAAAGAAAGCTTGTAGTTAATGTTTTTAGGTGTCAAGAATGTCTGGACAGGTTCCAAAATTGAGGTTAAAATACGGAAATTAAGAGCACAGAAATTAACGCTGCACTTAATTAACGTCGCGTAAATTAATTCTCAACAAAATTAACGCGACTTAAATTAACGCGAATTTTAACGATTCAAGTTAATTTCATGGAGCGTTAATTTCCTATAATAAGGTATTACATGATGTTGCAGGTATTTTCCTTTTCTTTATTTTGTTTCTTTGTAAATTCCAGGTCATTTCACAGGCAGAGCAGGAGCAAGCTGAATTAGAAGTCAAAACAACCAAACATGAAATATTTAAGGTAACTCTCTCTCTCCATACACAGCTGAATAATACTGAACTAAAACCAATTACTGAGCTTGGGAATGAGCATTGTGACTAGAATTAATCCTTCACTTGTGACAATCTGGACTTCACTAGAATGTAAGTAATGCATTCCTTCAGAGAAGGAAGAAAATGGAAACAATAAATTTTATGACTATGATTCCACTGTGCTTATATTATATATATAACTTAAAGTCTAGTCAAAACCAGATTTTAAAATGAATCTTTTTTTTGCAGGCTCGTAAACTTAAAGACTCTCTGTGTAAGATTTCTGACGGAATCCAGGAGTGGGCCTCAAAAACTTTGCTGGTTGCAGGAGCCTACAGAAAACTGGCTGATCTTATTAATGACACACCCACACAGTTGACAGAGAGCAAAGTTTTTTCTGGTATGTTGATAGCAGGAACCAAACTGTGACAAATGAATCTTCACTTCTTATTAGCTATTAACTTGTCCATGCATGGTTCTCCTTCCCTGCTTCTCCTTTTTTGGAGATAATCCTATTAGTGCTTCCAGAGAGAAGTTGTGTCAAAGAATAATATATTGGCAGTAGCATTTTCAGAGGTTTCCATGGGAACCACCAGCCTCTTAAAATGCCAACAATTGGATCAACACCCATCAACCTTGAGCGAGGTTTGTGATACACCAATCACGAATAACCAGAGTGGTATACATGTTAGTCCCACTCAGTAAATCGACTTTATTGCCTGATGAAGAACTGCAGTACATGATTGAAACGTTGCAATCAATATTTATGTGACTATCATCAGACATATGATCAACAAAACCCTTGTATGCTGAGTAGACCCTTGGCGGAAATGTGAAGGGTATTTATATATAATGTTCATATATTAATTTGTGTTCACAGGTGCTCGTCAGTCAAGAAGTATAGTCAATGATCTCGCAAAGGACTTGAAAATTGACCCTGAGTTATCCAAACAGTTGGCAACAATGTCAAAGTCAGGCCAACCTTACTTGTATGCAGTGTCCACTCCTTTGCCAGTAAAGATAGAAATTGGTAAAAAATATGATTATGCCTATGATGTTTCAAGAGGGAAGCTCCGCAAGTCGAAGCGTGGACCTCAACCCCTGCCACACCCTCATCTGAGAGTTAGGGAGAATTCAGGAATGGATCAAAACCACAGGAGGCCGCTTTCATTGAATGATCTTCGGCCGCCTCCTAATTTGCCACCTCCCCCGCTGCCTACAGATGGTAAGGATTTTATCAGGGGTGGATCTAGGGGGAGGGTGCAGGGGGTGCGCACCCCCCTGAGATGACCTGCGGTTTTCTAATACAACTGATATTCTGCAAAAAAAAAAAACTATGTGGTTTATTGGCGTTGAAGTAGAGCAAGAGACGAGTGTGCCCCCTCCTAAAAAAAATCCTTGATCCGCCCCTGTTATGTAGCGCTTGAAAAAAACTTGAATTCTGGTTTGTAGCCTCCCACACAGACATTCTTAGGGCTTCATCACACATTTCTTCTTGTCATTTGTTGAGGGAGGATTGCATGATAAGCCAAAAGAAGGTCTGCATAGGAGGCTAGTTTGTCCTTTGAACAAGAAGCTCTCAAATATTGCTTGCCCAAGGCATTTGCATGCTTGTCTTTGTCCTTGACATATTCATTATTTGTAGTGACTGACTTTAAATCAATCAATCAATCAACTTTATTGGTACATCCAATTAAAATGGGTTTTCACATACCAATTACAATAAAATCTAATATGAACAATAGAAATCTAAAATAAACATTTGAAAGTGATAAAACATTACCATATTATTTAAAAGATATAAAATATGCATAATTACACCTATTGAGTGTCAATAGCTTAAAAACTCGTCAAGTGCACGTCCTTTAACCGCATTCTTAAAAGCATTAAACGACTTTGTGTGCAGTACTGATGCTTCAAAGCTACCATCTCTGAAGTACCTTTTTTTTTTCTAAACTAAACTAATTTGCAGCAAGACAAGTTACTTTCATAACAAATTCAGCAAAGGAAAATGCAGCACTAAAAAGGAAGTTGTAGTTTTTTAAAGATACCAACAATTTATGTTTACCAATTAATTTTGCACTTGCCTAAGAGCCTTGAGGGAATAAAACAAAAATTGGTCTTATGTCCACTCTGTTTGTACTACCTAGTTGAGCTTAAAAAGATGCAGTAAAATTACTGCTCAAGATTAAAGTTTTGGAATAAATTAATTAAAAACCCCCATTTTTTTACTGTTTTATTTTGCTTTTGTTTTCCCTGTAAATGAGTGGCTTGACCTTTGTGTGGTTCAGATGACCACGTGAAATGGGGACCTGTCTCCAAAGGGGATATAGAAATAGTGTCCTCAACTTATTTTATTATTTTTTAAAAATATGGTTTTAATATAGCACTTTCCTGCTAAACACATTGACACTCAAATAACTTTGGTTTAATAATATGTACTTTTGGCACCAGCTCAGATCAACTCCAAGCAACAACCAGGAAAGATCTGGTATGCAAGAACAAACATCTCAAGCGGCTCAGAGTCTGACAGTGAAGGATACGCAGAGCCCATAACTGATCCTTCATTCTTTCAACAAACGAGGATGCTGTGGAAAGTACTGAGTGATGGAGCTATTAATGAAGTGGGTACAGGTTACGCTGGAGTGGAATCAAGAACTGGGAAACAGTCAAGTAGTCCACATTTTTATCATCAATTAGAAAGAAGGAACTCTGAAGAAGACATAATTAATGACAATAATACGCCACCAACTTATGTTGATCTCATTCAGTAGTGATTGACATTGTTACATAACTATTAACATAGTTTATTTTATTAGTACTATTAAATATAACACAAGAGTTATGATTGGATTACATTGTTTAAGTATTAGTGCTGGAATTTGGAGCACAGATTTACTCAAAACAGAATATATGACACCCTCTACCCTCTTGCATACAGAATAAATATCTCCCTTCTGATTTCCCTCTATGACAAACAGCTCAAATCCAAGAGATTAAATGGCTGAACACATTTTAACATACCTCAATGACAAATAACAATATATATGTCCAAACACAACCCAAATGCATCAGCTTTGATGAACATACGTAATATTGTTGAAATAACAATTCAAACAAATTGTTAAATAGTTGTTTATGTGTGAGTTTTTTTCATTGTACTATTATTAAATGGAGCTCTCTGTTTATTACAGTGTATCTATGAGTGCAGTGAATTGCAGTTAAGATTATTAGTGGATGTATAATAAATTGGAGAATTTAAATACAATATTATTATTGTAATAATTATTTTAGCACATGTAAACAAACATGGCAGAAAGCCGAGTGGAATGTTTAAGCGGAGTTAAAACAGCTCAAAATAGCAAAAAGGAAGGTGCAATTGAAAGGAAAAAAAGCATGAAAATGTGAAGCTGAAGGAAGATGTGCCTGGGAGATTTTACTAGTTTGAGAAAAACTGGAAGAATGCAAATTCCTGTGCTATCGGAGTTCAGCTTCAAATCAGCGTTCCGAAACAAACGTACATATTCTCGCTGTATATGGCTTGTCTTTGGTATTCTATAGAATGCCAGACCAGGGGAGTTCCTGAAGTTATTTGTGCACAAAGGCACTCAACAACTTGCATGCCTCGACATAATACCAAGTGGCTGCTCACTTTGCCCCCCACCCCCCAGACAATCCCATAAATACGCGCGCGCTTAGTTTGGGTCCCAGGCTATCACTCTTTTCCTAAGTGGGCTATAGCTAAACCGGTGCGTCCCCCCTAACGATCCCAAAAATAATTACGGAATACAATTCGGCTTAACTCCCATTCTCGTTTCTAAAGTAGTGATACATGACTTACCAATTGTCGTCGTTACTTTCATACAAAAGAATATGGAGTTATAAAGGTTCCACTCAGCTTTAGTGGCAGCAGTGCGCGTATTACTTATTTCAGCTAGAACACCTTCGAATTTCTCTAGATCCTGTGATGCAAAATTTCGTACTAAACTGTCGACTGGAGTGAGTAATGTCTGTCGGGGATTTCTCACGACTCCGTACGCTGGTACACTTAACAATCAAGAGGACTGTATACTTTTCGAATACAAACGGTTTATTACAATCTAGATCCAACAATCTAATATAATCGCGTTCAACGATCAGAGACCGGCGAACTCACACCCAATCCTACGTTTACAGAAGTTTTCTACCACACGAGACAGTAATTTTCCAGTATTCACGTGTACAGTAATTTTCCGAGCTCACAATATTGCAATGCACCTAAATTAAGCTATTATTGCAAAATAACACTTTCTTTGTCCTTATTTGGTTCAGTAAATTCACTAAGAACTCTGGTCACAAATTGTGAAATATCGAGACTATTCTTATTCGTTACAAAGTTCATGTTGTGATGTAGTCATATGTTTCTAATTAATGTTCATAAAGTTAATAGTAATCAAATGACGCTTATCGGATTTCTTTTCCGACAATGTCTTCTGTCCAAAGTCGGAACTCTGCCGAAAAAGTAGAAAATGGAGACATTGAATCAAATAGAGCTTAAATTAGTGGGAATCATAGATTACTGAGTACGTTAAATTTTTTTAGCTTTAAAGCCAAGCTTTAGTTCAAAACTGGGTAAAGGTCATGAAAAAATGTTTTTTTTAAAAAAAAAAAATAAACATTGTTTCTATGCTTTTCGCGTAAACGGCTTCATATTTAAAATGTTTTATTCACCCTCGAGCATGGTCCATAAAATGAGAAGTAGATCGTAGACATCCATATTTTTTAAAAGAAAATCATATTACGACACTACAAAAGTCCGAAGCGGGCATGGAAACATCGAACGTCAAACGTCAACCTGGTTGACAATGATTGCGACGGAGACACGAGATCACAGTTGTCAGTGAACCGGGCAGCGCTTAAGGTACAAAATCTTTTGCCATTGTGCAATCTGTTCATCTTCATTCAGTTGATCGTGTTTTACCATAGGAATCCCAAGATTAGAGGTTGCAGTCTCCTAACGTCGAACGCAGCTTTGGTAAGGGATAGTGGATTGATAAGATCACAGTAACAACTTGACGAGGTTTTAAACAATCTTAAGCACTAATTTTTATAATAAAACCGATAATCGGATGCACTATTCAAACTTTAAAAGTGGTGACAAGTACTAGAAAACTGATGCAATAGTGATGCTCACTCTGACGTTACCTATCGATGTTAATGTGCTTACCAGAAGCGCATTGGTTCTTGAAACAAAATATTCTTTTGATTACTCGTTACACATTTGAATAAAAAAAAACAGAGCTTGCAAACAGTGGTGTCTTCTATACACAGGTTGTTGAATCTCGTGTCTAGAGACCGCGTTGGCCTTGTCCAGCGGACGGACCCGTGGCTCCAGCCTGATTTAATGCTCTTTCGTGATTGGCTAATATAAAAATTATTGTATCCTGATTGGCTTGCCTAAGATATACACGTTGCTTGCATTGTTTTTGTTTACGTACAACTACCAAACAAACTTGTTACGCCTTCGTGCCAATTTCCCACACTACACTGTGTGTTCCTTATGTATATTCGTGTGTAATAAGTTGTGCGCACTGCGCTATTTTCAACTATACAGATGACGTTGTGAGTTGTTTTGCTTCCGTTGCACGAAAATGACTATTTATTTTCCTTCAGAAGAGATAAGCTTTCCAGAAAGGGCGTTCAAGTGTGTCGAAAACTGAGAAAACAAGTTAATTACAGAACTATCAAAAAGAAATTTAATTCCCACTCCTTCCTTTTTGTAAGTGGATTTTCAATTAAAGGAAGAGTTTTTTACTCTTTATCGAACTATTGGGTGGAATGTCTATTTTTCACAATTAGCCATTCTTTGAGTGCAAGTTAAGTATTCATGTAGTTACGTTTTCGCAGAAAAGCACCACGAAACGTTTTCAATAAACGATGCACAAACAAGTAATGGCTGGTGTCTTCATCGAAAAACTATTGATTATGAAATGCCTTTCCGTTTTATTTTATTTTTCATAACAATTAGGTCAAAAACAAAAAGGTTGACAAAAAGTATAATAATGAAATACAGGTATTTATTCGGAGTCAGTTGACAGCAACATGCTTTTCATTGAGAAAAAAAAAGACAATGATATTATTGCCCCCGCAGGGATTTCGCCCAGAAGGCGAAATCCCGAGGAGGCACTCTAGAGGCTTTCCAAGGGGGGTAGCTGTGTCGCAATGTCGCTTGCTTTAGGAGACCGTTGTCGCCTAATCTACAGCTGCAAATGTCGCTGTCGTTTTTTGAAGTGTACATAACTGTACCAGTAATTTTTGTTTTGCGAGAAACTGTTTCGCAACAGGGCTATAACAGGATTTTCATGGTGGTCAGTTGGCAAAACTTTGTGAGCGGCGAAGGATGAACGCTTCTTCTTCTTCTTTAAGGGTAGGCTCCTGCGGAAAATTTGGAAAATCTGAACCCTCAGAAATGCAATTTCCTGTATTCTGAGTCACTTTTATTGATAAAATGCACAACTTTCCAACGTCACCGTCGTTTTTCACTGTTTAGTATGTCGCTGTCGCATTTTAGCAGCGTAGGCATGTCACTTCTCGCTTTTTAAAAATTCCCATGTCGCCAGTTTTCAGGGCCGTGTCGCATGTCGCTTTTACCCCTTGGAAGGCCTCACTCTAGTAACTCGCGCGAAAATTAAGGAAAGTACTTAGAGCTGAAATATACAGTCATACAGTCAATATAAAAAAAAATCTCGATTTGCTTGAACAGGGGCCGCCAGGAAACGGTAGGTAATGATGACGTTTCTATTGTTTGCGCCCGCAAGTACGAAATGGTTAGGATGACGTAAAGACAGAAAATCCCGAAGGGACCGCTCAGGTAGATTTTGTGACATTTATTGTTCAGTCATACTTCGATACTCTTTTGCGTTACGCAGTGACATTCTGTGGAGCAGTTGTTTTGAAAGTTATGGACCAACAGACACTCGTTAAGCCCAAATGAGGTTATAAGGTGCGTTTAACTGTGTATATATAAATACTTGGAGAGTTTGCCAGACACGAGTTCACAAATCTTTGATTTATATTGGAAACCTTGCCAGACACTCTTTCTCTCTCTTTGACGGGAATAAGACTCAGCCCCAAACAAGCAGGACGAGTGAACAACGGCTAGCTTATCACTAGAAGAACGATGGACGATTACAGAAGTTCGCCGACAATCAAACTCTGTGCTGACTTATTCCCTGCTCACAGATGTCCTTCCGTTATAAATTTTCAAATAAGACTAGAATGCGCGAGCGTGAATCGATCAAACGTCCTTTTAATTTCTGAGGCTTAATTACTTTCCGGCAAATAAAATGAACTTAATGTAAAAAGTGAAAGAGAAATAGCGAAATATTCAACTTCTAATTGAATATTTTCTTATGGGTTAGATAAACTGTCGAAACTGAGAATGTTTTGATCAAAGCTGTGTAAATCCAGCTCATAGTTATTAGAGGAGACTGGTTATGAAAAGCGGCAAACATCAATGATAAAAACAACAGTGCTACAGTTTATGTTCAAAGCACCGTGAAAGTGCACAATCCTTTGTTTTCTGTTGGCAAATTGTTACGGAATAAATTAATGCAACGTTTTTATTGGTCAATACAATCAAAATGATAGGAATTCTTTTGAACGTTGTGCACTTTCAGGTCCACAAAAACATATAACAAAGGAGTCTGACGGGTTTCATAACCATTCCACTCAATTAACTATGTCCAGCTGAAACTGTGCATGGAACCTTGCGTTTCCTGTATTTATCTCACCTGTTGTATGGAATATGTGTGAAAATCTTCACTGTGATTCGGTATATTTTAAAGAGCTACACAACGAGCAAGAATGCTATTGACTGACAGTATACAGAACGGGGGCAGCTGTAGTGTCAACTGTTACTAGTATACATTTAAAGTATTACGATGACGAGTAGTGCATAAAGTTTGATACACAAAATAAGAATTTGCATAGTTTGAAGTACCGGGGCAATTCTTAACAAGGGAAAATCATCTGAGAAACGTCTTAATAGCTTGCGCGCGCCAATTTGGAAAAGATTCTTTTTTTTGGTATAAACTAGTACTAATTCTTGTTTTGAAGTTTGCTTGTAAAGAGACGTCTGGGTACGAGGCAGATCGTACCCCATTATCGTAATAATGTCGTCATTGCTGCTGCAGGCCCGTAGCAAGAATATATGACTGGGGGGCTAAGCGAGTGGCCCACATTAACCCCCCCCCCCTCCCACTTGGGTCCCTCGGTTAAAGCATACTTGCCAGCTATTGTTGTGCATGGCTCCAAATCATTTTCATTTCCCGGGTTGTTCTTAGCCCGTGAACAGCAGACGCATTTCCGGTCGTCGCTTCTCTCCCGATAGGTTGTTCTTTGATTCGGATACACCAGGCTCTGTGTCACTAGTGCATGGTTTTACCGACGATAAAAGTGTTCCCTGCTTATTTTCGACTTGTTTGGGTCTCTTGTTCGGCGGCTCTTGCGAAGACATTGTAAGACTTTCAATATAAACGCGCAAAAACCTAAGTTTTACTCTAGTACAGTAGTATATTTTACACTGGCGGATCTCTTAGGAAACCAATAAAATTCAAGAGGTCAAGTTCAGGAATTGTCATTGGTGCATTTCGATCCATTTTGCTTCTGACTATTTTGATGCTTAATAAGCAGATATTTTAAAGCAAACGAGCACATCAGGTTGTTTTATTCAGTTTCTTTTATTCTTTGAATGAAATGTTAGCTTTCGTAAAAATGTTCCCGGCTAATGGTGGTGGTGGCATGGGGGTATGTATGTCCCCGTCTGAATTTCAAAACCGGTCGTTTCACGCATTGAGAAGGAAGCCATGTCCCTGTCGGTACTTCAGTTGTTTATGCCCTTATTTGTCTCATTCATTTGAATGCGTGACGAACAAACCCCAAAGGACGTCTGCGGGGAGACTACGCTAATTGGATAATGGGAATAGCTGACCGAGATTCACTGGCCGAATGGAAAAGAAACATGTACAATAATAAAAATAGCTCCACACAAGTACAAGTTCTTTACGAAGAAATTAAACATTGGTCGATAGCCCCGGCTAAATTTACTTTTTAATGGCAGCCTTTTATCGACTTTTAGAAACCTTAATTTAAGCTTGCGTCATCTAATATGAATTTTCAAGCTGTGGTTTTCCGGATCACTTACGCAGTATTTAGTAACACGTGCTCTCTTGAAAACACCCATTTCCGGGACTACTTATTAAAAATAACGTATGGCAAACATCTTGGACTGGAACTGAACTATCTGCAGGAAGAAATAAGAGAGGTGGGGAGGGAGTGGAAGATAATGGTACCAGGTTCTTTGCAAATCAGGGTTCACAATTTAAGAAACGGTCCATATAAGAATGATAGCGACCACGGCAAAGAAGATGTTGGAATGCAAAAAAGGTGCTAACTTTTCTATTGTCTGTACTTACTGCTGATTGGCTTAAACAGCAAAAGTTAACAAAACTTCATAATGCAGTACATATATTCATCCTTACTTTCCAACCATCTTCCATAAATATAACAAAATCTGGTCTCAGTTTGAATAACAAAGAAATCCTATTTGGGGAACATGTAAAATTGTAAACTTTTCTTGGCTATTGTTTTCAACTCTTGTGATTGGTCAAAATCTTTTAACACAAAAAAACACCAGTTCAAAGTGGAGTGTAAATGCAATTTATTGCGTAAACGGCCTTCATGTAGGTTTATGCATTCTCTGTGTAAAAATGAGAACATTCCTATGTGGGGAAAGCACCGTTGCCGCATAACAAAAGAAATTGCTATCCACCTCACCCGGATTATTACTTAAACTGATTAACTGAAACAAGGTCTAGAAACGTACATCATAGTCTTTCAGGCACTGTTTAATTACAAAACCCGAGGAGGGTCTTCGGACTTCTGACTTGCAATTTGCGACTTCCAACTTCTGACTTCCGACTTCCGACTTCCAACTTCCGACTTCCGACCTCCGTAGCAATAAAAGGCGGTGGTAGGCCTACACGACTTTTACTTTATGCCTAAATGCTGCTTGTTTCAGTAACGTTTTTTCCTTCTGCTGGGTAGGTTATGTCATGGAAAGTTCTACATTTTTCACTGAGAAAATGTTATTTTAGCCTCTCGTCTCACACGGGGAGGTCATGGCACACATATCGATTTACAGTGGTTTTTGTTTCTGGTCGGCAGGATTTGCCCCCTGATGAAAGAGCATCATTTTCTTTGACCTCGTTTAAAGCGTAAGGCTTTTTATTACGGCTGAGTAAGGCTCTAATTTTTCTCCAAAGTGCCTTCTGGACCTGAAAAAACTAAGCGATTTTCTTTAGTCCGTGAATCTGCAATGTTTTAGCACGCTGGGCCCAACTCGTTAGTTTTCTGTGCAGTATGTTAGATTATCACGGATAGTGATTTACAGATCCAAAGTTATAAGAATGAAGTGCAGCTTAAAATGAAGCTGCATCTACTATGGAGAATTGCATTGTGACTCAGATTCCAGCTTAGTGTTTTTCTAGTCTTTTGACTGGAGCGGGTATTTCCTTCCTTGGTAATAGTTTTTTGAATACGTTTAGACTGCATAACAGGCGCTTTACGAGCGAAGCGCTTCACACTCGTTTCGCGCTTCGCGTAAAATGCCGCGTTCGCCTCGCTTAATTAGCTCATAAGGCACCTGTTATGCAGGCTAGAATAAGATTAACGGCTAGTGTTTGGACTGTGTTGTTACTGCCACTTTGTGGTCAGGCAAGACCATGGTTTTGGTTCTCCAAGAGAACCTCATCGGTTGCCGGGTTGGCTTTGTGCTTAGTTGCTTTTTCAAGAGCAAGTTTACTTGTTCTCTTTTGTGGCGAGAACGGTACAGCCGTCCTTTCCACTGAGCTTTGACTTTGAGCATTAATACCCGCGTGGTGGATCGAACGGCAATCGAGCCAAACAGAAGAGTCAAGTCAGAAGTCGGAAGCTGGAAATCAGTAGTGGGAAATCGGAAGTCGGAAGTCAGAAATCAGAAATACGGAGTTCGCACTTTGTCACGTCTGAAGTCTGAAGTTTGATGTATGAAGTCTTAAATCTGAAGTCTGAAGTTGGAAGTCGCAAGTCAGAAGTCTGAAGTTGGAAGTCGGAAGTCAGAAGGCGGAAGACCCCCCTCGGCTTTCGTAACCTGAGATCAGGCTCAATTTTTGTTTCGCTTTGTAATAACATTCCGGCGGGCAAGGCGAAACGAAATTTAGCGGTAGCCGTTAGAAAGAATGTACGAGGAACCGCTAAAATTGGGCCTGATCTCATGAGGTTATGACCTTCCTTTTACCCGGTTTTTTCCCCGCCCACTACTTCCGCGCGTCACAGACTGGGCTTGTGCGGATATGTGATCCACTTCCGCCATTCCGCTTTGAAACACTTGACATCAACACTCGAAGCGATAAACAACGATTTTCCAATTTTCTGGCACTATATCAGTGAAAATTATGGCGAAGAAAATTTTTCGTCGTGCTGCTAATAAGGTTAAAAATTGTAGAGATGGACATGGTTCTCTTGGTTTGCTCATATTTGACGAGAAAGTCGTGTATGAAACTTTTCAGAAAGTTGTGATCGCCAAAGCTGACGGTGAGTTTTCTAAGTTATCCATCATTAAGAGTTTTGCTGGAAAGAAGTAAGAGCTGAAAGCGGATTACATAAGAAAAGAAGGATTTTTCTTAACTTTTGATTTATCTGAGATCATTCTTTTTAAGCCCGTTGGCTATTTCTTGGGTGGGTAGTTTGGGTATATCAAGTTTGAAACCGTGTTTTTTTAATTTAAAATATCATCGTATCATAGTTTGATATCGGTAGAATGCACGTCCCACGCTCATATCGTGTTCACGGATTTAACATCATGTTCAGTGTACTTTTGGAGAAACTACAGAATACAAGGCCATATCTTAAAAGGTCTTAAACAAAAGTAGCTCGGTGGCTCGCTTGTCAAGACGAGTGTTAATAAAACGAGAAAGGTATAAGACATATAAGTCTATAATTAAGTGTAAGACAGACATAAGAAATGGAGGATATTACATGTCGGCGTGTGGATACAAATTTTATCTTCAAGTGTTCAACTCAATATGTATATCACAAGTGAGCGCAGTGAACGAGTGAGATATCGAGTTGAACACTCGAAGATAAAATTTGTATCCGCAAGCGGGCATGTAATATTCTGTTTATCATACAGACACCAATGGCGAGATGCTGATGCTGTGATGCTCTTTTGTTATTGGCTGAGACTGAAGTAGCCATGACAACCATGATATCTTCACATGTGAAGGATAAAAATTGTATCTTCACTCGATACCAAATTTTCGTCACTGGAAAAATCCTGGTATTTCGTCGATGTCTATATAATAAATACATATAAGAGTAAGTTTTAAAGGAACAAGTAAAGGTATATATTTTTAGTGGCTCTTTGCCTTGATGGCTCATCAGCCAAGGTTAGGGTCTTAAAGAACGAGCTGAGAAATAGGTATATGTTCTAGTGGCTTGGTGGCCCACTGTGGCTCATCAGTGACTACTGAGCCACTGAGCCACCCCAACAAATAATTATTATATACCATCTATGTATTCCGTAATGGATTTTTAAAACTTTGACTAGTTTATACTTGCAGTTCCTATTAAATTTCTTGTTTGTACGCGATGAAAATCTCACAATTTGTCTGTCTTCTTGTACTTTTGTGCATGCCTGGCTGGAAAGGGGTCGGGGGAACCACTTAGGCCAGAATTTATTCTTCAAGTTTAATGAGTTTGTCATTGTTTTTTAAATAGCATCCATTGCCATGTTAAAATGGGCCAAAACTGAAGAAAATTTGGCGCTTCGGGAGGTCTTCAGTAAGGTTTTTGAAGTTTCCAGTATGTGGACAACATTGTGGAAGGATTTTGGTGAAGAGGTATTGGTTAACTGCTTCATTTGTCTTTAAAATGGTGCCTTCTGAAAATGTCGTGAAACTAGGTTTGATCACCTGCATGCACTTCTCAGAAAAGATGACTTGATGGGTGGGTTTGCTGTTATGAATTTCTTCCAATCAAATTGGCCACTCACATGTCTCACTGGGGTGCAAAGAAAGTCATTTTTACAGCTTGCCATTCGGGCAAGCTGAAGCTAGCATAGCCCAAACGTCATTTCAACTAGCCCAGAAAACTTTTTGATGAACAGAATTGATTTCACAGTTCTTCTGTACATTGAATTCCTCAAAAAACGCCACTTGCCCATCGGGCAAGTTAAGAACATAATTCACTAGCCCAATGGCAAAATCCACTAGCCCTGGGCTATCGGACACTACTTTCTTTGCACGCTGATGTCTAGTCGTCTTGTCTATTGGAGGAACATGACCAGACCAGAGAGACTAGAGGAAATATTGAGCTTAGTACGAAATGGGACGAAATATTGATTCCTGTCCTAAAACAGTGAATAGCCAAGGATATCTTATTATTAATGGCGCCAATCAAATTGTGCAAAAATTGCTATCCACTGATTTGGTAAATACTAATCTTGACGTCGGTAGCTAGAAATGCCATCTTTAGTGTGAAAAATGCAGGAGGGCTGTGTGGAATGAGGCTCCTACACTGTGGTGACTCTTGATGTAATTTCAAACTCTCCCTTTGATTCGTAACCATACATGTACACCAGCTAAGTTGAGTTAGGAGAATCTAGTAGTTTATCAACAGTCATCTGGGGCATCCAGTTTTTAGGGAAAGTTCATTTAATATGACAAGGGGGGATGAAGAATTGATGAAAATTTTTGAGGGGGCTCTGAAAAAATTGTTGCGCTAGGAGGGGGGGGCTCCGAAAATTTGTATACTTCAAAACCAACACATGTACATGACATCATCATACAGATCGGATGGTTTTCAACTCAACAATTTAATGACCTGTGCAACTCAGCTATATCACGTGGTTTACAGATGTAACAAATGTAGTCTCAGTAATTATTACACTCTTGTTCATCCCAAAAATGCTTTAGAAAATTGTATCACAACTGTATCTCAAGTTTGTCATAGTATAAACCATTGAAGACAATAACGGTAAATATATTTAATACAGTCTAGCGATCTTTTTTCAGGGGAGCAAAGGAACTGAAGGAGGAGGGGGGGGGAGGGCTCTGAAATTTTTTTGACTACCAAGGAGGGGGCTCCTAAAAAATTGAACCGCTAGCGAGGGGGGCTGCTAAAATTTGAAGCTTTGAGTTTCAATATCTTCATCCCCCCCTTGTCATATTAAATGAACTTTCCCTTAACAGCTGTTGTTTTCACTTTTGGTTATTTTCTTACAGTATTCTAAACACAGAAAAAGTTTCAAAGAAATTCTTCAACAGGAGAAAGCTTTGGATGAAGCAAGGAAACCGGCAGCCATGCATGCAACTAAAATGAGTAGAGCACAGAAACAGGTGATAGGTGACAGTAAATTGTACGTAGATTTTAAAAACTATTCTTCCAATAGTCTTCCTACTTGGGTACAGTTTAATTCTCCTTGTTGGGTAGGACCTCGACATAATATATTATTGCAGACTTAATGATAGACTTTGGTATTTTATCTGATCACAGGTAGCATTGCATCACACAATCTACATTTTAGTTGGACTGCTTTGTCCAATGAGCAATAGTACTGTTTACGGCTCTGTTGCTTACATACTGATATCTTAGTTTTGATACGTTTTTACCTCTTTGTAGCTGGATCAAAGCAAAAGAAAGAGTGATGGAGGAAGACCAAGAACACTTATATCAGATGAAATGGTTGAGGTAATTTTTAAACCTTTCTTAGAACTGAAACGTCCCCAGATCGAAACATCCCCAGTGGCAAAGAGTGAGGAGAAATGGCTGTTTTTGCAGGATACCTTCACCCATGCAGGAGTGCATGCATTTTAGGGTTTCAAGTACGATGTATTTTTAGTCCAACTTCCTGGTGCAATGCCTGGGTATTACATAATTTTGCCAGTATTTTCCTTTTCTTTATTTTGTTTCTTTGTAAATTCCAGGTCATTTCACAGCAGGCAGAGCAGGAGCAAGCTGAATTAGAAGTAAAAACAACCAAACATGAAATATTTAAGGTGACTTTTTCTCCTTATATAATATTAAAACTAAAACCAATTACCAAGCTTGGGAATGAGCATTGTGATTAGAATTGTTTCTGGTGCTTCTGACAATCTGGTCTGTACTAGATTGTAAGCAATGCATTTCTTCAGAGAAGGAAGAAAATGGAAACAAAAATTTTTCCTACTATGATTCCATTGTTCTTATGACTCCACTCAATGACTTGAAGTTTTAATGATTTTCACCAGGTCATGATTACTTTTTTGACTTTGCTTGCAACCCTGACTCCAGTGCTGTCCAAACCAGCTTTTAAAATGAAGCTTTTTTTCTTGCAGGCTTGTAGACTTAAAGACTCTCTTCGTACGATTTCTGACGGAATCCGGCAGTGGGCCTCAAAAACTTTGCTGGTTGCAGAAGCCTACAGAAAACTGGCCGATCTTATTAATGAAACACCCACACAGCTGACAGAGAGCAAGGTTTTTTCTGGTATGTTGACAGCAGGAACCAAACTGTGACAAATGAATCTTCATAATCATTGCATGATTCATTTCTTTAGTAGCTATTAACTTGTCCATGCATGGTTCTCCCTCCCTGTTTCTCCATTTTTTTGGAGATATATCGATAATCCTATTAGTGCTTCTAGAGAGAAGTTGCGTTAAAGAATAATGTAGTGGCAGTAGTATTTTCATAGGTTTCCTTGGGAACCATCAGCCTCTGAAAATGCCAACAATGCTTTGGATTGAAACCCACCAACCTTGAGCGAGGTTTGTGATACACCAATCACTAACAACCAGAGTGGTATACATGTTAGTCCCACTCAGTAAATCGACTTTATTGCCTGATGAAGAACTGCAGTACATGATTGAAATGTTGCAATCAATTATGTAAGTGACTATCATTAGACATACGATCAACAGAACCCTTGTATGCTGAGTAGACCCTTGGCGGAAATATGAAGGGTATTTTTATATATAATGTTCATATATTAATTTGTGTTCACAGGTGCTGGTCAGTCGAGAAGTATAGTCAATGATCTTGCAAGGGACTTGAAAATTGACCCTGAGTTATCTGAACAGTTGGCAACAATGTCAAAGTCAGGCCAACCTTACTTGTATGCAGTGTCTACTCCTTTGCCAGTAAAGAGAGAAAGTGGAAAATATGATTATGCCTATGATGTTTCAAGAGAAAACTTCTGCAAGTGGAAGTGTTCACCTCGACCCCTGCCACACCCTCATCAGAGGCTTAGGGAGAATTCAGGAATGGATCAAAACCACATAAGGCCGCTTTCATTAAATGATCTTCGGCCGCCTCCTAATTCACCAGCTCCCCCACTGCCTACGAATGGTAAGGATCTTATTAGGGGCGGATCTAGGGGGAGGGTGCAGGGGGTGCACACCCCCCTGAGATGACCTGCGGTTTTCTAATACAACTGGTATTCTGCAAAAAAAAAAAACTATGTGGTTTATTGGCGTTGAAGTAAAGCAAGAGACGAGTGTGCCCACTCCTAAAAAAAATCCTTGATCTGCCCCTGTTATGTAGGGCTTGAAAAAAAAACTTGAGTTCTGGTTTGTCCTCAGCCTCCCACACAGACATTCTTAGGGCTTCATCACACATTTCCTCCTGTCATTTGTTGAGGGAGGATTGCGTGATAAGTCAAAAGAAGGTCTGCGTAGGAGGAGAGTTTGTCCTTTGAACAAGTAGCTCTCGAATTTTGCTTCTCCAAGACATTTGCATGCTTATTCATGCTTATTCATTATTCATTATTTATAGTGACTGACTTTGTGTGCAGGACCGATGCTCCAAAGCTGCCATCTCTGACTTACCTTTTTTTTTTCTAAACTAATTTACAGCAAGACAAGTCATTTTCAGAACAGCACAAAAAAGTAAGTTGTAGTTTTTTAAAGATACCAACAATTTGTGTTTAGGTTACATCTTTATAATAAACCAACTTATTTTGCACTTGCCTAAGAGCCTTGAGGGAATAAAACAAAAATTGGTATTATGTCCACTCTGGTTCTACTTCATAGTTGAGCATAAAAAGGTGCAGTAAAATTACTGCTTAAGATTAAAGTTTTGGAATAAATTATTTTTTTAAAAAACAATTTTTTACCATTTGCTCTTGTTTGCTCTGCAAATGAGTGGCTTGACCTTTGTGGGGCTCCTCAATGTATTTTATTGTGAAAGGTTTGAGCCCAGGAGTCATTTCAAAAGTAGGTTGAGTTTGATCGTCTGGGTGAACGTAGTCTTGAATAGGACTGTTGTTGTTGACAGTGACTGACGTTTCGACAACCTGTGCGGTAGTCATCTTCAGAGTCAAAGTGAGTTGTATCACGTCAGGTGATGGTATTATACTCTGGTTATTGATCTGGTTGGTCAATTACGTCGTGATGTTATTGGTCATCTGTCAGTTAAGCCGTGATGTTATTGGCTATGAAGACTCGTAATCAGTAATTGGTGTGTTTCGATCCGTCTATTGTTATAGTTAAACAGTCGTCTATTGTTAGTCAAATTGTCAGTTCCCCAGTCGTCCTCTCGTAGTTAGTTTTGCTTGATCTTGTCAATAAGTCGTTTGTACAGCGCTGGTAACTGTTGGCTACTTATTTCATCATTTTTTAAAAATATGGTTTTAATATAGCACTTTCCTGCTAAACACGTTGACACTCAAATAACTTTGGTTTAATAATACATACTTTTGGCACCAGCTCAGATCAACTCCAAGCAACAGCCAGGAAAGATCTGGTATGCAAGAACAAACGTCTCAAGCGATTCAGAGTCTGACAGTGAAGGATACGCTAAGCCCATAACTGATCCTTCATCCTTTCAACAAACGAAGATGCTGTGGAAAGTACTGAGTGATGGAGCTATTAATGGAGTGGGTACAGGTTACGCTGGAGGAGAATCAAGAACTGGGAAACAGTCAAGTAGTCCGCATGTGCATCATCAATTAGAAAGAAGGAACTCTGAGGAAGACATAATTAATGACAATAATACGCCACCAACTTATGTTGATCTCATTCAGTAGTGATTGACATTGTTACATAACTATTAATATAGTTTATTTTATTAGTATTATTAATATAACACAAGGGTTATGATTGGATTACATTGTGTAAGTACAGTAAAAACCCATGAGTAAGAACCTACATTTTCCAGGGTTAGCCTAAACAGGTTCTTACATAAATGGTGGTTAACATAAATTTAGGGTATCTAGGTTCTTAACAGGTTCTTAATTTCTTGCAAAAATATGTCGTTACTAAGAAGATTTTAGTGATCAACACCCTTAAATTTGCACACCTAATGATTGCTTATATTTTAACATGACCATAATAGAGATCTATTCTCATGTGAATTTTAATTTCTTGAGTCAAAACAACTTTATATACATGATTGTGCTGTAAAACACAATATTATAAACATTTTCTCAATGACCTCAATCAAACAACATTTATACATGTACTAACTTGCCTTTTTGCAATTGCAATTAGTAAATATTATGATTTTTGAAAATAAGAACCTTTCTCCAAAGTTTAGGCTAAAGAGTTCTTATATAGAGGGGGTCTAAATTGCATATTTTAGCCGAACAGGTTCTTAAATCTTAGGTTCTTACTCATGGGTTTTTACTGTATTAGTGCTGGAATTTGGAGCACAGATTTACTCAAAACAGAATATACCGTAAAATTCCGAAAATAAGCCCCTCCGTGTACAAGCCCCTCCATTAATATAAGCCCCCCAAACCGGTAACGCAAAAAACCCTCTGTTAAATAGCCCCTCCAAATATAAGTCCCCCGAGGGCTTGTACTTGGAAAATTGCCCTTGAAAACAAAGTAAAACAAAGCAAAAACGGTAATTCACTTCCAACTATAAGGCTAGCACAATCGATTTTGAAACGCAAATTTCCCTCCGTAGATAAGCCCCTTTGAATATAAGCCCCTCCAAAAATAAGCCCCTCAAAAAGGGCCTTTGAAAAATATAAGCCCTAGGGCATATTTTCGGAATTTTACGGTATGACACCCTCTGCCCTCTTGCATACAGAATAGATATCTCCCTTCAGATTTCCCTCTATGACAAACAGCTCAAATCCAAGAGATTAAATGGCTGAACACATTTTAAAATACCTCAATGACAAATAGCAATATATATGTCCAAACTCAACCCAAATGCATCAGCTTTGATGAACATACATAATATTGTTGAAATAACAATTCAAACAAAAAGTTAAATAGTTGTTGATGGGTGAGTTTTTTTCATTGTACTATTATTAAATGGAGCTCCCTGTTTTTTACAGTGTATCTATTATGTATCTATTTAGTGAATTGCAGTTAAGATTATTAGTAGATGTATAATAAATTGAAGATTTTAAATTGCAATTACAATTATTACATTATTACGATAATAATAATTATTATTGTAATAATTATTTTAGCACATAAATTAAGGTAGTCGAATTTATTTTAGAAATAATAAATTCTTATACTTAAATAAAAAGTCACACTTGCAGGCTATAATTAATAATAATATTGTTATTAAATTGTAGTCTGCAGGAGTAACTATAGAAAGAATCGGAATTTGTTGAATTATAACCCATTAGGATTGTCACTATTAAAAGGCTGGGAGCCTAGGATTTCCCCTTCTCTGTATTTACAGCTGTCCTCGCCCCCAAAATATCCTTTTTAGCAATAATTTTGTTTAATGTCATGGCTGTACACCATAGAAGACAGTTGTTCCTATGTGGAAAATTAATTACATATAATAATAAAAATAGTTATGTCATGTATAAGACTTGTATACCTGTAAAGAAATTTTTGAGTGAAAACATTTTGACACCAGAAACCTATTCAACTGTACATACATGTAATAGGAAATTATTTTGAACTTTGCAAAAACATTAATTATAAATGTACTTACTGTATTGTGAATGGCTATTTATATTCACAGGGTGAAAGACTTCATTATTTTCCCCCAAATACTATTACATTATCATAATGAATTCTGATAATAATCATCAATAAACTGTAATAATATTTATTACAATTTATGACTAGCACAAATTCAGATCATTTTGTGCAATTTAATTTCAACCACACTTCAAGACCTTACAAGGATTTCCATGAGGTGTAACAATGAGAAAAAACTTTTCATATCTACCTGTAAAAAGTTATAAATAATAAATATGTTTATTGAACACTCTGTAAATTTTTGTGCACTCTCATCCATATAAATTTTTCAAAAATTACATAAACATGTAGATCAAAAGAACACCTTTTGTAAATGTACAGTCCGAACGTTTTTTTCCTTGTACAGAAACTAATGTCTTTCACAGACAGTTGCCTCAGGGTTTTTGTTTGAGGCTGGAGGCTGATTGTAGATCCAGTTACTTGTTTGCCTTTTGAAATCTGTTATGTACATTGTTATTTCATGTGACTTCAGTTATTGGCTTTAGAATATTTAAATCAAATACTTTTTCATGAGTTTAACTTAGATCACAATATTATATCTGAGGATGCTTTTAAAATTGCTTTTAGTGGACTCATGAAGGCAGACATAAGCAGTCCACAGTGTGCTGGAAGTGTGTGCCTTTTGTGCTTGCAAAAGGCCTGTAAAACAGCTGAACACAGACAGCCACTTCCAGAGTTTTCATGATACATCCAGTCTTTTGAAATGGCATAAAACACCCTTGTCTTGTTGATCCCAAAGATAGCAAATTAATTGTAGGAAACAGAACTGATGTGTGACAGTAGCCCTTTAAACATATTGCAGTAAAGAACCACTCCTTGATTATGATAAATTGTCAGTGACTTACACTGGAAAGAAGTAGTTGGAGAGTAGATGTTGCCTGGAACAAACTTAGGAGTCACTAACTCAAAGATCACCTATTCATCACTGGAGTCACTTTGACTATTCTCCTCCTCCACACTGCTATTACTGAGATTTTCCTCTTCCTCCATTTGTTGTATTCGTTGACTTGGAACTTTCAATTTTTTAAAGCCCTGGAATGTACTTTTCTGAAAAGCCATGATACAGTGCAGATTCCCACCTGTCTTTTTAGTGTTCCTTTGTTTAATTCCTTCATGAAGTTGACGAATGTTAAGGTAGAAGGGGGACTCGTTGTTCAGGTCTGTGTCAATGTCACTCCACCTGGGAAATTCAGAAAATTATTCCCTTCTAGAGGTGTAATATCGTCCAATTGAATGTAGTCCTGTGTAGTGCTGTTTTGACAACCTACGCGGTAGTCATTTTCAGTGCCTTTCACAAGGAAGATAAAATTAATACACTATTTAACTACTTAGGACTACACCTGCACAAATGATCATATTCCACCTACTTACGTATAACTCTAGCTAGGGGGGTGTAATTGTTATTTATCTTTACTACATTTTTGGCTATAAAATCAGTTAACACTTTGGATGTATTGAACTAGAAAATCTTGTAGGGTGTTAATTATTGAGGTAAGAAATGGGGTGTTAAACTATTACTAAATTTAGGTCAGAAAAGATATTAGGTTAAGCCATGCCTTGCCTGTTAAATTATTAGGAAACAATGCGGTTGACAATATAGCTCCAAGTGACTCTTGATCTCATGACAAATTCTCCCTTTGTTCACAAGTAAACATAAGGAGAATTTATCAGTGGATCAAAAGACACTTGGGGCTCAGTACCTCTTGCAGTGAATGCTAGGATGTTTGCAGCTGGTGTCTCCAATCAGAATCCATGTTTCCACTTCATCTTCGTACAACTGTGACCTGAATAGTTAAACAGAAGGGGTTTCTTTGAGATTCGAAGTGATTTTGTTACCTCTGAGTCTTGCGCATGCATCCCTAATGCATAAAAATCCCCAAAATGAATTATTCATGGCATACATCTCGTAGGACATGACATCACTACACAACCTGCACCAATTTATTAGCAACCATAGAAATTCTAAAGGGTAAGTAACTAAGGAAAATCTGTATGTTGGCCAAATTTCCCACAGACAACTTCTCCAGACTAATCTTCATACCGTTCCTTCAAGGATTAGTTGAGAGAATTTGATTTTAAATCAATTCAGTATTTTCATCTTTGGTCACTGATCATATTATTAATTCTCATTATCAGTTCACTTGATGATGTATTGATTTTATAAGGAGAAAACTGATGTTGGTCACTCTTGGGTTTTTAATAAAGCTAGGGTTAATACCCACCTGTAAGCATCTACAGCCTTGCTGGGTGAGTCATCATAGCCAATGGGACAAAAGTAATGATTGTAACTGTGATAGATAAAGGCCATCTGAGGGTCATGCAGTCCATTTTTCAGCCGATGCAAGGCTTCCTCTCCACTGAGACCAATGGTGCAACTCTTTCCTTTAGGTTTGTAGAGGTAGTAAGCTTCACCCCGCACTCCAAAGTGATTGTTTAGCTGTCTAAACCATCTGCAATCAACATACACATAACATTTACTAGATACAGTACTGCTCAAGAGTAAGTTACGAGATCAATAGGTGCGCCTTGTTTCTCGTGTGACATGAATTGCGTCTTGCGCTACATGATTCTTGTAGTACACAATGAGAATTAGGTAGGGTCAGAATAAGGGAACCGGAAATTTTTGGAATAGTCATTTAATCTTGTGGCCTTTTGTGTTTTTTCATTTGTAATCAGTAGTAAAACAAATATTAAAGTCGACCAATTAGATCTGATGAGATTCTGGACAGATTTTAAGTCATCAGTATGGAATTTCTGTCATTGAGGTGCAGATGTAGATGTCTCTCCTCTGAAAAGTGCCTAGCGGCAAAGAGCGAGAAGAGACAGCTGCATTCACAGGCTATCTTTTGTCTTTTGGATGGGATGCTGAATCACAATCACAGTAGGTCTCTACCCACCTCATAAGAGTAGCATTTCCTGTGAATGGTCCAAATCTTATTTCTCCAAATGGGGGCTTAAATCCCAATATTGTTAATGCCTCTTCTTGAGTCAGTGGCTTTTTGCTGAAAAATTAGAAATTTCAACAGATCTGCATTAAATTAATTAATTTAATGCAGATCTGTTCTTACATGAGTCATTGCGAAAGTACTCATTCTTTATCAGAATGTTTTACCTGCCAGCACCAAGTGAGCTAAACAGGAAATTCCAACAGGATACAAGAGACGAAATCCCACAGGACTTTTTATATTGGGGTCGGCTTATACAATACCTGTTGAGAAATACAATGTTATTCTAGGGTTAAAAAATGTGAAGCTAAATTCTAAAAATTTTAAATGTAATATAAATATATATTTGTTAAGGAGGAAAACAGTTAAGAATCTTCCAGTGTAAAGTCATACTTCCACGTTAAAACACCAGACACCTCTCCTCAATGGCAACAGCCACTAAATCGCTTCCCAATTGCCTTAATGAAAATAACCTCTTTCTCTGTTTTGGTAACATATTTGTTCTGAATAATTAGTTTCTGTTTTATTGACATAAACTCTGATTTTATGCAACATTGGAAACAACCTTCTTAGAGCAAAAATTTTTTCCAGTCCCTTGGCCCTTTGTTATATTGAGGTTTCAATGTTAGAGTTTTCATTAAGAATATTAGTAGAGGGAGAAAGGTGTAATATTTTCAAATAGGCTCCACATCTGAGTGAAAAATAGTCATAGGCTATTGACAGTTAGCTAGAGAATTCTGCTTAGTAAACAGGGAATTCTCCGATCTTCAATGCCTTATGAACACCCAGAAAATATAAGGATATGCGCATTGAGGTATTGAAAGTATGATGTAGATAATCACACTGTCCTGTATTCATCTTGTGTGACCATGTCCTTACTTTTCCAGAATACTCTTTTTCATAAAGCATTTATACTACAAGGAGAAATTTGATGCTGATCAAAAACTGTTTGGGCTTAGAGGGTTAGAGGCACAGACACATTTAGTATCAACTAAAGATTTAATGGATGGAGAATGGTGTTCATCTAGCCCGCTTAGCTAGGAGAGTTGTTTTTGCAGGTGTAAGAGTTTTGGCGGTAAAGCTGCCATTCTCAGGAAGGTATCAAGAAGGTAGGCACAAGAAAATTCAAAGCAACACCTCCCCATTCTCCACATGGCTTCACCATTCCTCTGCCAAAACTTTGCTTGTGCTGCTAATGATCCTGCTAGCTGTGCAGGTTAATGTTTATCAAGAGTCTTAACTGTTTTATAACATACAGTTGTACAGTTGAACCTCTCGACAACTGCCACCTTGAGGACAGAAGAAAGTGGCCGTTGTAGAGAAGTTTAAACAAGAGTCAGTGTAAGGACTGTCCACCAAAAAAGTGGCCGTTGTAGAGGGATGGCCATTTGAGAGAGGCTTAAACAAGAGTCAGTATATGGATGGTCTGCCAAAAAAGGTGGTCGTTATAGAGAGATGGCCATTGTAGAGACGTGGTTGTTAGTGAAGCTTTGACTGTATCAATTACCATCTTCTGAGATCCAAGACTTTTCTTCTCTCCATCATTTCCTGAGTGGCAATTTCCATGGTAGCCAGATGTTGCTGCAATTTTCTGTGGCTGCCGTCATTGTACTCAGACTCTACAGTATTGTCTTTGCTCCTTAGATACTTTTGAGGTGGCTTTTTTCTTTTCTTTGATTTAAAACAGTCAACATCAATCTGCCATGCACATGAAGAAGGAACATCAGATTTTACTGGTGGAGATATCTTCACTGGTCTCTCGAATTCTGGTTCAGATGTGCTTTTTGCATGCCTCCCAGTGAAAACTTCTTCCTCTGTGATTAATGGCAGGGAAAAAGACCTGGACTCCTTGACATTTTTCTTCTCTTCTTTACATGGACTTACACTCTGAATTTCATCATTGCACTCAGTTTCCAAAGTACTCCTACTATTATTGTTCATCTTAGGGGATCTTTGATGTTGAGAGTGTATTTTCCCTTCCTCTTGATAGCTCACATAACGGACAGCCATTGATTCTGTGTAAAGGTCTTCAGTTGGAGAACTATGAGCAGTCCAGACAGTTGACTTGTCAACACCACTAGTAAATCCTTCACATTTTGCAGAAGCGATGCTTTTGCTGTCAATACTATTAGCATTCTCACAGTTTTCAGAGCAATCAGACCGTATAATTTTTTCATCATTGGGGAAGTGTTTTCTTGATTTCGTGTACAATTCCTCATTGGATAAACAGGCGTTTTGATTTTCAAGTTCTTGAAGAACTAAATCTTCTTTTTGTGTCGAAAAAGTGCCCACTGTCTCGTAGAAAATGTCTTCATCATTGATGTCTGGACTACTGTCGTCCTGAACTGATTCTCTCTGTTCCTCACGTTGAAGTGAGTTATGCAGAACTTTTCCATGAGCAGAGCTCCATATCAAGCCCATCCTAAAAGCTTAATTTGTGTCGAGGAAGCTATCGAGCCCTGTTGCTCAAATTGGAGAGAGTTCCAAGGAAGACGTTTCTGGAGCAACTTTCCGACGTGTAAACAAACGCGAAACTGACGGATTAGCAGATGCCAAGGGAATATGCAGTAAAATCATTTGCAATTGTAAGAAAACGAACCTCAATAAACTGAATCGAACCTGCTGAAAACAGCAGGAGACATCAATATTTCACAAAAATCGGAGCCAAAAAAACTTTTGTTTTGACTTTATGAAATTGAATTCCTGAATTTGTAAAACAGCGCTAAAACGAGAAACCGCTGACATTTTATAACAAAGTTGCAGTGGCTTATGGGAGATGAGAGAGAAACGCCTGGAACATTTACACATGAATAACAAAGCTTCCGTGATTGTTTTGAAACTTTGATTAGTTTTCTGCATGATTTTCTCTTCTATTGTACTACTCTCTGGGGTGCTAAAAAAGAGTTAACACTTTTTCACTGAACATCTGGCATTTTTTCCTCCTCTTCGTTGACAAACTCCTCACAACTTTATTCCATGGCTTCAACCAGTTCGCAAGTTATTGCAAGACACAAGTTCACTTATCCCATTGGAGACATTTACGATGGCGAATGGAACGACGTAGGAAAAAAACACGGCGTCGGTAGTCTGACCTTAGTCGACGGTACGAAGTACATGGGTCAGTTTCAGAACGGTGTTTGCCACGGCCATGGAGTTGCAAATTTCCCAGATGGTTCGAAGTTTGAGGGTGAATTTGAAAACGGCAAGTACAGCGGTTTCGGTACGTTTACTCGAGGCGATGGTATGCGGTTTGAGGGAAGATTTCAAAATGGAAGAGTTGATGGTCAAGGTCTTATAACATTTCCAGATGGAACACACGGGAGACCTCGACAAGAAGGATATTTCATGGGCACAGAACTTGTTGAAAGACAGCGAGTGACCGACTCTGTTACGAAAGCCCAACAGGCGACGAAGATAGCTAGAAGCATCAAGTTTTGAGAAGAACCTGTTGATACAATCTCTGAAACATTACGCATGTAACTTATATTCGTAACATTTATATTTATGTATTTTATTTGTGGCTGAGGAAAAACAGGCGCACCATCAGTACACAATATGTTGAACATATTCCAACTTTTTTAAGTTCAGAATGTTGATTTTTGTAGAGAGGGGGTATTTCTAGAATTTTCGATAGAGCTATGGGTATTACAATAATGTTAAACCCTATTTGTGGTCAAGTGTGAATAAATAAGCTGTCCACAACGGCCGCCTTGAGGAGAGAGGTTGGAGACTACTGTATTTTTTGAGGGGGCGGGGGATGGGTGGGTATGATCTGACAATATAGGGAGGAGAAATGTAAGTATTTTTATTTCATAAAAACAAAAACCGAGGGCTTGGAACAAAAATATTCAAAAACCAAAGTGAATGAGATGCAGTGGATATGTAGCCTAAGAAAACAGCCCAGATCTGGGTAGTCCTTCTGATTGGTTGAAATAAATTTCCCACGTGGCACAACCAATCAGAAGCACTACACAGGTCTGGGTAGTGACGCATTATCAGTTTGGAATTTCTGTGAACGTTTCTAAGACGTCATTTGGCGGGGAAACCAGTGGTGGCGTCACCAAATGTCGGCTGTTTTCTCAGGCTGACTTATGATGATTTGTCCTCAACTCATTAACACTCATAGCTACATCCAAAATTAAAGGAAAACAGAATTTAAACCAAGTATAGACTTAAACCACAACAAATACCTTGTGCTGTACATTGTTTGTTTGAAAGGCCTTTAAAGAGGTTATTTTGGCCACTGGGATGTGCTTCACTGGCTAATTCAATGGCAAAGAGGTGACTTTCGTAGAGAAGGAGATGTATTGGGTGGGGAACGAAAACAAGGGGTGGGGGAAGCAGGTAAGGATGGACAGTCTGAGAGTCACCAAAACTGAAGAAAAGTTCCTATTCAAGACGGACAGCACTAAGGCAGTGCACCACGCAAAATAACAACACCCTTTGACTGTGATAACTTTTATTACTTAATTAACCAGTCGAGAATGTTAACCTTTCTGCTAAGATACCCTAAATCCACACTTAAAGTGGGTGACAGTTACTTCATCATCAAACCGATTCTCCAACAGTAGGGACTTTAAGATCCAACAATGCAGACGGCAACGAGAACGTCACTTAAAAAATGAATTTCTGTTCCTTCAGTCTTTATAGAGATTACTGGGTACGTTTGTTGGGGAATGAGTTGCTTGGATGTACGTGTTCTTTTAGTGGAGGGGGTGGGGAAGCAATATTATGAACCTCGGTTGTCAGGTGCTAACAGAGGATAAACTGATTTGATCACGTCAGTTCAACAAAAGAGAAAAACATCACTACAAGCCATAAGTAAGAATCCTTTCATAAATTGGCCCTCTACAGTAAGAACAAGTTTCTAGAAAAGATGTGCACTTGAAACAAGTAATCTGATGACGGCAAGGAATGACCACACAGTTCGGTTTCTCAAGAGTACAGATGATACAGTTATCCTTTTGAAACCACATTTCCTCGATCTCCTTTGCAGTGGACTTTAATATCTCTGCAACAGATTCACTGCTAACTTCCTGAGAAGCTAAAACAATCTGTGACAGTTTCTCAAACTTAGCAGCAAGCCTTCTTCGCAGAACATCACTCTTGTCAGTTAGAACACTCATTTGACGAGAATGCGATTTCTGTTTGTTACTTGCATCTTCCTTTGCAGCTGTGAGTTTTTCTTGGAAGAAGATTTTGTCTCTTTTAAGATCCGTGATTGTGTTTGAGAGCTCAGCCATTTCTTGGTGCAATTTTTGAATTGAAATCTTCCACCTTTCACTCATTTCTTCTTCAATGTTGACAAGATTGACTTGTTGGCCAGCCAATTCTTTTTCCAGAGAGGAAATTTTGGACTGTAGTTTCAGCAGTTCTTGAGCATGTGTTTTGTCTTTATGGAGGAGTTTTTCATTCAGAACATCTCTTTCTCCCTCAAATAAAAGGTGAAAGAAAGGAAAATTAATCAAAATTTGATTACTCCCTAATAATTTTTTAACCACTGTAGCCTACTCTGGGTTTGAACCAATGACCTGTCTCACATGTAATTCAGGCACCCTTCAACTGAGCCAACTGCAGGGTGGTGGTTTTGGAAAATTATGTATCAATACTATTGACAAGTACTTGTGAAGCTCTCTTAGTTCATTTCCCTTGGGGAACAGGAAAAGTGCCCAGAACTGCAGTCTAAGGACAGTCCAAACAGGTTTCTATTATTAGAATGCTTACAGTAGACTAAGCTGTCTGCATTCACATTGTCCATGAGTTGAAAAAGACATTGAGCATTTAACTCTAAACAACTTTATAATCTACTAGTGAGGCAACCCCCCCAAGGGGATGGTTACTCTCTTATATAAGCCATATCAGTATGTGCCACCCCCAAAGGGTATCGTTTTTGAGAATTCAACCTGAAAATGGGTACAGACTTTGCTCACTTTGGTCTGGAATCAGGTATGGTTTTAAGGGAACTATGGGAGTGTATGAGGGTACTTGTCATTTCAATTCCAAATGAATAAGAAAGAAAAAGTAAAGTATGCGAATTTGAAATCGATTTTAAGAAATCTTTTTGTCGGCATTCTAATCTAAGTAGTGATGACATACTTTCTTAGAGACCATGTTCGAAAGCAGGTATATGGATTTTAGAGGCTAGGTCTGAAAACAGTTGTGGTCAATGACATTTTTTGGTTTGAAAGAGGGTCAGGATTTGAAGAACCGGATGGTGCATCAAAACAAAGAATTCCCAGGAGTTTCCCCTGGGGTCAACCTGGTAAACCTACCAGCAACATCATTTCTCTGTCCCTCAGCACTGAAAAGTCCAGTGCTTTTTCTGCAGACGAGTGTTTTTCATGCAAACTGCCACAAAATGGAGGGTTCAGCTTACAGACTTGAGTTGATAAAGATGCGACAAGTCTGATTATGTTATGATTGCTGTGATCAGATGATGTTTTGCCAGCTGAAGGATTAAAAAAATATGTATATATGTAAGTCTCATAACTATTAATAACATTATAGCTGATTACTAAGGGGGTTGGGAATGCTTCCACAAGTGTTTTGACTCCTTGAATTATGTAAGTAAAGAATCTTCAAAACCTCTGAGTAGGTTGAGTGGGTACTCGCCTAGCGGTGTTTTCCAAGAAGGGAGCATGGTTAGGGTGCAGGAGATAGAACAGGAAAGGACAAGCAGGCAGGGAGGAGTACATAAAAATAAAACGACAGCTTTTAAACTTGGAAGGCAATACTCTGCAAATTGGAAACAGCTCTCAGAGGTAGAAGAAGCTGATCTAAGGTTGCAGGAACTACCAGGGTACTGGAAATGGAAACTGTATACAGTATTGTCTCACTCCTCCTCATCCATCAAGGACTTGTGGATACAGGAACCAATGAGGGGTTAGGACCAGGGGTGCATGTGACTGAGATACAGGAAGAAACAGTGACAGTATAATATATAGTGCAGGAAGGATTTAACAGGTAGGTGAAGGGGAGGGAGGGGATTTGTGCTACGGAAATGCCCCCTGCACAGGTTTCTATGTTTAAATTTTACGTTGAATTAATTCACCATTTAAGTTAGGTTGGAGAGTTAAAATCTTTGCCGCAATCAAAGCTTCTCTACACAGACAGCTGTCACCTCTCCTACAGTTTTCTCCACCATAATGTTCTATTTTCTCTCTCAATAAACCTCTTGGAATCTCAAAATGATTGGAGTCTGTCAAGACAATAGCATTCCCACTGGCTTCAGAGATATCCATGGATCCCATTTTAAATTCTGGGATGCAAATTTGTACCAGCTTTTCAATATGCTTGAGGGTACTGACTTCGTCTTGTGTCAAGTCCACATAAGGAACAATAACAGATTTCTTCATTGAGGCCCTTGACAAAATGGATTCCACTGGTTCTACTGCCCCTGATTTATACAGTATGTTAATTAATGCCTCATTGCATAAAACCAATTTTTGATGAATTTCTTGTTTGATCTCATCCAGCAATTCAGTAGATATTGAGTTTGAAACAGGATATGTCATACTTCCATGAATGGCAAAGAACTGCTGAGCCACTAGGAAGGCAGATTTATCTGTTAGATAGAAGTCTGCATGTCGCACATCTGAGGTATTGTTTTCTTCTAAGAGACTGTAGTATAATGGAATCAAATCTGGTCTATGCTCAATTGCATGCACCCACATGCTACTTACTTGGTGATCAATATCACTGAGATGCATGACAGCTCTTCGATCTCTGTCGATCTTAAGATGTGCGAAGTCAACGCCTGATGAAAGACCATCCTTTGAGAGGTCTAACACCCAAACACCTTTGACATACAGTTGACCCTTGTAACGATCACCAATAAGCAAGGTGCCAATCTCTGACTTGACACAATCCGATGGTGGGCAGAGGAAAAGGAACCGCTCCAGATAAACTTTCCAATCTTCAAAACAAAGAGGACGAACAGTTACACAAGTGTCTTGCTGACCAAGGTCGTCATCACCATTGTCATCATCATCATCATCATCAAATCCTTTGCTCCGATCCTTTACAAAAACAGTCAGAACCTCTTCGTTAAAAGTGTCATCGCACGACAGGCCAAACTTCCAGCGATCTCTACTGGTTTCCATGGAAACAAATCTCCCCTCCCTCACTAAGGCAAGAGCACCAACTTTCAGGCCTTCACCAAACTGACCAATCACTTCTTTGCTTGAAGCTTTCTTCGAAAATCCTAGAAGCAAGACCTTCCTCATAAGCTCAGTGTTGTAGTTTACCAGGATAAGTTTTTTGCGAAAGGGAGAGTACACTATTTTACCCAGTACCACGTTTCGTTGCTGCTGGTCACGTGTACTTTCGAACGATCGATCAAACTCGCCATTGACAGATTGAAAATCATCTGAACTGCTATTTAACTTTGTCATTTCTTCATACAAGAAAGAGTTTCCTGCTGTTGCGAGAACTGCTTTATACACTAACAAATCGCCTTCTTTGCAAGGCAGGAAAGCAACCGAGGATCTTGGCAACATTTCCGTTTTGCAATCGAGCTGCATTTTCTCCAGTGAAGAAAACACTCCATCGTGCCAGTTTTGTACAAGCTCACGGATCCCTTCCCACGTTTTCCACGAAGGTGCATATTGAGAAGTAAGACTAAGACTCACAGACTTTTTCGAAGTTAGATTCCCGGCCATTCCCCACCGCCAACTGATTTTCCTCTTTTGCGCTGCATGATGGGTAAGTGACAAAGGTTGTGATGACATCGGGCGCGATCCATTCAACCAAGGTTCAGACCGGTCCGACCGGGAAAAGAGGACCACCTCAAAAGGTGGACCTGTTTTTCGAAACTTTTCCGGTTGGACCGAACCGATCCATTGAGTTTTGGACCGAAATTTCCGGAAATTTTGGTTGAATGGATCGCGCCCATCATATCTAAATCGGCCTGATGAGGTAATACCCTCAGAATTGTTTCCTTTTATATAATTGCTATTTATTTATTTTTTGGTAACAAAAAATGCAAACCCGGATTCTGTATTCGAGGAGTTTCCAGTGGCTACTCATTTCACCGCTTTTAACCCCATCAAAGCAAAATATTCTTTTCACTCCAGCAGCTGTTTGTGGTGGAAACTTTTAGTAGGGGAAGAGGGTTTAATTAGTTACAGCTGGTACAGGCAGAACACTCTAGAGTGCAGGTCGAGGCCAGAGCTGAATTAATTCTCAAGATGTGGGGGATATGTATGGTGGCCAGGAGCCAAGACGGTCAGACTTTGAGGCATTTATGGGGGTGCCTTCCAATCTCCTTCTTGCACCTTGTTAGAGGGGACCCTGGTAGCAAGGTTGGCTGCATCCTAGCCAGATTACCTAAGTGTGTTGGGTTCGTATTGATGAGCGCCTTATTTTAGAAACTGACTGGAATGAATTAAAGCGACAATACTCCAAGAGGCAGATCTTTTTTATTCTCAAATACCTAACAATACATTATAATAAATTAATGATGGAAAAAGCCTCTCTTGATAAACAAAGGCAATGGAAATGCTTTTAATATTAGAGCACCAAAAAAACGAAGGAAGAGTACTATTTTACAGCTATTTTGTTGGGAGAAAATGGCAACCTTTTTTCCTAAAAAAAGATACGTTAAAACCTTGTTTATGCATTTTGTAACACGCCTCCAACCAGCTAGTCGCTAATTCAATTTTTTTTTAAACTCCTGAAACGATAAATGAGTGTATGTTCTGGCAGGCTCAGCAAACAAATTCAAATGAAACTTTCAACAATAAATATTCATAAGCACGTTAAGAAGAGCTGGCCTGTCTTTATCACACAATAGCTGCATAAATAATTATTTATTATTATTTATCATTGTTAATTATTAATAATATTATTATTGATTAAAATATTATTATCATTATTAATATTATTATTGATTAATAATATTATTATTATTGATTATTACTGGTTATTAATAATAATCAAAATAATGTTTTCACTTTAAAAGATCAAGACTGCACATAAAAAGATGCTTTTCTTGATTGGGAACACCCTTTCAAAGGGGGATTCGATTCAAACTGCTAAAAACCCATGTCTGAACTAACATATTTTAGAGTGGGTGACCCTCAGGTTATTCATTAGGCATGAGAGATCGGAGAATTCTCCGATTACTATGCTGAATTCCCTGGCTAACATTTAGTAGCCCATGACCATTTTTATTCAGACGTGGAGCCTCTTACAAAATATTCTCCTGTGATGTTACATCTTTCTACTGCAGTACTGCTAGTGGAATTCTTAATGAAAACCCTGTGACACTTGACAATTCCAAGAAATTAAGGCCCTCTCCAGTCCCATTTTTCATTTTCAATTTCACATTCTTTACTTCCCATTTTAGCTTAGCCTGTTCCAGGCTCCAAGATAGTGGTGAAAATTCTTTCAGTAAAAAGTAAATGTGAAAAATGCGTGCAGGCTGGGGAACGCCACCACCCCCTTTCCCAAGTCCAGGGTCCAAAATTGCGCCTTCCTGGTCGCCAATGCGACCAAAAATTCAGTTCTGGCGACCAGAAATTCATAACTGGTCGCCAGCCAGCGACTTGTAGAGCTGGTTGTCATTGTAAACTTTCACGTTCTGAGAAAATGATTAAGAATTGAAACCTTGAAGGTATTTGCCAACAGGTGTTGTACTTTTTGTCCTGCTGATATTTGTTTAATTTAAAAGTGAAACGAATCTTCCTGTAAATATACCTTCACAACAGCTACGATCAATACGAGTTGCACGTTTCCAAGCCGCCAAGGGGAAGTTTTGGCGACCATAATTTGCTCTCTGGCGACCAATAATTTATACTTGCTCACCAGTTGGCGCCCACATTAAAAAGTTAATTTCAGACCCTGAAGTCGCGCACGTCTTATTTTCGCTTTGCTGAAAAAATTCAGGCTTGCCAGGATTCAATTCCTGACATCCTAGGCAGTGGCGGATCCAGACCTTCTGATAAGGGGGGGGACCGGTCATCCAGACCCTGAGATAAGGGGGGGGGGTGGTCTCCAAAAAAATTTTTTCGGCATTTCGGGCCTCAGTTGGTCTAGACCCGCCACTTCTAGGTGCGATACCAGTGTAGCACTCTAACCAGTTGAGCTAGAAAGCCAGCGGAGAGCTGGCCATAAAATGGTTTGTAATATACCTGGTAAAGGTGAAGAAGAAGTAATGAATATATGAATATTTCATACACTTGAACCACAGAATGAAGAAATAAGGGAGATCCTCACAGCATCATGACTTATGCGGTTGCAAAAAGAAAGGCCTGGAAAATTCAGGCTTGCCAGGAATGTAAGTTGCTTCTTGGAAGGCTTGACTGGTTACCATAGAAACCCTAGAAAAAATAGTTTAAACTTATAGCAGTAGGGATGAAGTCTCCAAATTCAACAAAGTCAGCTATAATAATATTAAACTTGTGACACTTGGTTCCGCACAGCGCCTTCAGCCACCCAGTGACGTGGCAGTTGCACTTCATGGCACACACATCTTTTAAAGTACTTGTCATATTCTGAAACACGGTTGACGTCTGAGGTGTCAGGACAGCTTGCGTCACTTGAAAGGCATCTTCAGAAAAGGTGCTCACGGCGCATTGTTTGTTAAGAAATTCCATCAAGAGTTTTCTGTCCGCTGTGTTTGGCCAGGGGGAGCAGATTAAATGGGGAGGCCAAAAGCAGGGGTAGGCATCGATCACGCCATAATCGTGATATATAATAATGACTTTTTCTTCATTGCCCCACATTTCTTGTAACGTCACGTCGGGACCGTCTTCCCCTGGAGCGCGAAATATTTCACTGAATGAAGCGAGTAAAGTATCGGCTAGCATCTCATGTGCAGCCGGATCCATGTTGTAAAAATGATTAAAGTCCAGAATGACAATTTCTTTAGGATATTTTTCCACGAACCTGTTTATTTCTGCCAAAACTTCTTCGATTGTCCAGCCGTACAGACCGTGAAGAATTCGGATCTGCTTATCCTGGGCTCTGTACGCAACTCGCAGATCTAAATAGCGGATTCCTGACAAAAGCTGTTCGTAGATTGACATAGACTGCGTAACGGACCAACTATGGACTACAGACTTTGCCACTTTTCCGAAAACGCTTCCCAGCATTTGAATCGTGGGAGATTCATCGGGGCCAATCTCCATGTCTTGATCGAGAAAAAATGTAGCGGAGTCATGCGATCCTGGTATCACAAGATCTTTTAAAGGGCATAGTTGTTTCTCATTTGGTAGATTTTCCATCCAGCGCGAATAATCATTGTCCTCCATAGCGCCAACTCTGAGAATTTCGAACGAATCATCGCGGACAACGGAACTTTTTGCTTTTACGCTTTTCGCCATACTGTTTTTGTAGACAAACTGCTTTCTAGGGAAGGGTGGGGGTTGTTTTCTGTGGACTCCAGTCCCCTCTCCTTTTGATCATATACAGTTAAATTCTGTCTTGCATTTTGAAACGTTTTAATGTAGAGCCTCGGGTTGAAAAAAAGATGAAATTGCCGCGTATGAGTCAGCAGTGATTTGGGGAGGAATTAGACTAGAACTTGTTATACATTGAAATGCTACGCCGTCATTTTTGTCTCGTCACGCAACGCTCCCTAACTACCAAGCAACCGCATCAGAGCCAAAAATACGTTAAGAAAAAGAAAAAGGTGCGCAGGGCGTCATATCCTGAAATTGAAATGAAATGAAATGAAATGAAACGAAATCTTAAAAAAATGAAATAAATAAGATTTGATTCTTGCGGATTTCAGTGAGGCAGGCAATTTTTTTGGGTTGTCACATGAAATGTTTTTTGAAGTTCATTCCATCGACAAAAACACAGCGACACAGGGAGGCCATCAATGATGGGCTCCTAGCGGCAACCTTTCCATTAAGACTTGGTACACACATAGTTATTAGAGGAGACTGGTTATGAAAAGCGGCAAACATCAATGATAAAAACAACAGTGCTGCAGTTTATGTTGGAAGCACCCTGAAAGTGCACAATCCTTTGTTTTCTGTTGGCAAATTGTTACGGAATAAATTAATGCAACGTTTTTATTGGTCAATACAATCAAAATGATAGGAATTCTTTTGAAGGTTGTGCACTTTCAGGTCCACAAAAACATATAACAAAGGAGTCTGACGGGTTTCATAACCATTCCACTCAATTAACTATGGTACACATGACAAAAAAGTCAATATCAAACATGACTCAACATAAAAGATCATCACCTTCGGGTAACTTCCCACGCACGGCAAAAGTTCTTTAAGCTCGTCACGCAATCTAGCAACGCTTGGGAAGCTAACATTTGGGCCGGCTAACAAGGACCCTTTATGGGGGCGAGAACGGGCCACTCGCCACACCCCAAAGGGTTTTTTTCACACTTTTTTAAAAACGATTTTCCTTTATTATAGTCACCCTAGCTTCGCTTGTCACCAATTACAGGTGTTCGTTTGTTCCTTAAAAGGACATATCAGCAGGACAAGTCGATCTGGTATCTCATCAACTTTTATTTGATTTTATTTCCCCATCTATGAGAATATATCTAGCTGGATTTATGAAAACGTTGCCGCCAAATACACCTCTTGTCTCAAGCAGCTGCTTTCGGCCAAAAAAAATCTCTAAAGTGCCTAATATAAAAACTAAGAGTGCAATCATTAATTTTCCTTTCGTCATCCTAGCTTTTTCTGGTTCTTTTTCCTTTGAAATTGTTATTTTCGAGCTTATTCGACGCAAAAAATCTGCCATTTTGCCCTTTTTCACTCAAATAGCTGCAAACTCTCAAAAACGCGGCTAGATATACTTATCTACAAATCAGTAAAACTGCGCACTGTATCCCTATAAACGCGTAACACTACACGTTTAAACGTTGCACAAAGTACATGCCTTACACAGGTCATTTGCGTTTCACCGCTCTGCCACTCTTTTATTGACATATTTTACAACAGGCTGTTGGCCAGATTTTCCAGTACAAAATTTTCCAACTGAGCTTAAACTATTTGTATCAGCGGGTACAAAACAAGTTTCGTTTGTAAAACGAAAACAAAACACAAGCACATAATATAAAACTTGACGAATCAGGGATCACGTGGAAAATCTAGAGAGCCAATCACACCTCTGATCTGACGAATGTGCACAGCTGAGAATTGGGCACTATAAGTGCCAGTTGTGAGAAACAGTAGCATTCTAGGCGATGGTTCGGGGTGAATTTCTGCATACGGCGCTGGAAGCGCGGGAAAATACGAATGGGAAACCACGATTGGCTTTGGTTCAACTTGTGATTGGTCTGTAAAGAGTCTGTAAATGCAAGGTATGTAATACAGTGGAACCTCGATATAAAACGAAGTCATCGGTAAAACGAACGAATTTCGAACGATTTTTAACAGTAAAATATATGAAAAAGAACCTCGATTTAACAAAACCTCGTAAAAGCGAACAAATTTGCAAGTCCCTTGGTTTATCGTTATATCGAGGATCCACTGTTAAACTAAATCGAATCAGCGCATTGTAACCAGTTCTTCAGAGGATGTAGGGTGAATCGCCACAGTAGCATCAAAATCTTTCTTTGTTGCTCCCATTTTAACCGCTACGGAAAAGCCCTGCAGCATTTCATCGCAGCCTATTCCCAAAATGTGCAGTCCAATGACCTGAGGGAAAAGAAGAGAAATGATGAAAAATGAAAACATTTGTATGAGGGAAACCTGAAAAACAATCCTTACATGCAGGTTTGTCAAACCAATATGCACGTTTTGCACGCAACAATATGCACGTGCAATTTGCACGTGGATGACAGAACAACACGATTTGCACGTGCAACTGGAAATTATGAAAACAAACAACAACCACAACAAAAACAAGCAACCAGTGAAAGCCTGACTCACACGAACAAGTTTTCACTGTCAAGGAAAACCAAAAAATATCAAAAAAAGATGTTATATATTTCGCCGTACCCTTTCTTCCGGTAGAAGGCAAACAAGCTTCATCAGTGTTCCTGTTTTGCGTTTTGTAAGTGCGTGATACATGTTGGTAAAAGATGTTTTGTAAACCTTTATTTTATCTTTCCCGTATTTCTCTTCGGCTTCCTCTGAAGTAAACAAAAAAGAAAATAAATAAATAAATAAACAATAACTAGGAGGAACTGAAACGCAGCGCATTCGGGTAAACGAAAAAGACGTTTTCTAGATCCTTTTCAAAATTTATCTAAATTTGTATGCCAGGCTGTTCTTAACCTGTGAAATCCAGGGTGCCCACCATATGATTTTTATCAAAAAATAAGATTTCCTAGTCGCCCAAATTTCTCAAAGTTTTTACGTATCACAATGGAAGTTTGTTCCGCTTCTCATGTGGCCAAGATTTGGGCAGCAAGAGAATTCTAATTCCCCCTCGCGCACCCTTTGCGCTTCTCGCGAGCCCCAGTTCACCTCTCCCTTTGTTTTCGAACGCCTGCTCGGCAGGCAAGCTAAATATCGCGGTACCTTGTGTTAGTCCAACAGTTCCTAATGGAGGATGACTGAATACGACAGTTGGAATATTGTCATAATCCAACTTCCAATCTGTCTTGCCGTCGAACAATCTGTGAGCCAATTTCCTTCCCGCTGCAATTGCCACAGGCGTGAGTAAAGCTCTTCCACATACATCTCCCAATGCATAGACACCGGGTTTTGACGTGTTTTGGAACTGAAAAAAATTAGAATAGTATGACTGGCAGATAACTCATAACCTGCCTCGCAGACGTCATTTAACCAGAGTTAAAAAGTTTCGTCTGTGGCGCAGGCTAATAACTCACGGACAGGGCTTTTACAATGTAAAGCAAATAACTTCTTTGGCCTTAGCTGGGTTTGGGGACAAAATTTAAGACTGGTGAGTTCGTAGACGTACCTCGTCAACCAAGATATGTCCTTTTTTGTCCAGATTTATGCCCTACAATAGAAGAGAAACGAGAATGAGTGTGACTTTATGATGGTAACAGGGCATCGTGTTGTCCAACTCAATAGGGCCATTTATATGGCGACGGCAGAGAAAAATAAGACGCGTTCTTTAATCTTCATCGCGATTCAGTAAAATCCAAGTCATTAACTTTGTCAAATATGAAAACGGCACGTTTCGTCATTCAAAAGAAAGACGCGACTTAGCTAAGACGAACGATCTTCACGTCGTTTTTGGACGAAATGTGCCGTTTACCCTTGCAAATTGTTGTTTTGGTTGTCGACTATTTTCCACTACAGTACAGTAGTTATTAAACCTATTGCTTTTGTGACGTTCTCGTTACGGTCACCGTCGTTGGATCTTAAGGTCCCTATTGTTTTGAAAATACATCGTGGTTTTGTTTAATTTCATCAATAACTAGAGCCCTGAACCCTTCAAAGAGGCAAAAGAAAATAGTAAAAAGTCTTTTAATTATTGACACTAAATGATGTAAGTTAACAAAGAAATATTCACACAGTAACGGATAGCTTATTGAGCCGACAAGAAAAGCTATCCAGTATCAGAGTATGAACACCTAACCGATAAGTGTCTCTCCACTCTGGAGATCGCCGCGGTGTAGCGTCGCTCCGTTACAGAATTCGCGCCAAAAATCACCTTTCTTATGCGTGCTGGCGCTTAAGCCATCCGCTATAAGTGTAAACAAAGCCTTAGTCAATTCCATGACCAGCTAAGTGCTAAATTTGGCTAACATTTCATGATCATAAGAACACCTTTAAGAAATCGGCCATTATTTTCTTATTTATAAGTCTTTCCACTTACCAGACCATCTAGACTGAGAGTGTCAGTATTTGGAACTCTTCCAATAGCTAATATGACGCAGTCATATCCAGATAGGGCAACCTTGTCTTTTTTGTTCTTCAATGTGTGTAGCGTCATTAAACCACTGGCGCTGTCTTTTGTCACCTCTTCCATCTGGAAGGAAATATCAACCACAATTAAAACAATCCAGTTTTGAATTAAAGAGAAAAACTTAGAGATAACGGTGATTCCCGGAAGTGGAGCAAATAACGAGCTTTCAGTCGCCCAGGCCATTTTCCGTCTTCCAAGAAATCAACCACAGGCAGACCAAGCTCAGTATTTATGCGCACATGAAACGCCACTTCCCACGGAAGTTTAGAAACGATACGAAACGGACGATTATAAACGTTATGTGGGTCTGTAGAGGATCTTCTAAGCTTTATAACGATCCACTTTATGACCATAACAAAAATAGACGCCAAGTTTCCTTTACGATATAGTACGATTCACGAAGGCTGAAGTCTCGTGAGAAGCCATGCCCATTTTAAAAATGGAGAAGAAAAACAAAATGAGCGCATGACTACGAATTGTTTTCTCAAAGGTACAATGGAGGACAAAAGAACTTTGGACTGTGTGAAAAAGCGCTTCCAAGCAATAGTTCCGTAGGACTCTGCTCCTAAGGACAATTTTTTGTTCGGCTTTGGGTTCATCCCGTTGTCCCCCCACTTCCCCTAGCAATGTTGTGGCCAAGAAAAGCACTCAATTTCACCCATTTTGCTCCAAATTCAACTTTATTTGGGGTGGGAGGGGAGGGGTCGCTAGTTTTAGTAATATCACTGGAAAGGTCCCAACACTTTTGACCTCCATTGTCGTAGATACACGCAAATGCGCAAAAAAGCATTGGCACAACAGGCATCACTGGGGAAACTCAGGAAAATTTTAGGACATAAAGCGCAAAGGACGAGAGAAGGAAAAAGGTACTTTATTCCGTTGCCCTTTTTTTCCGTGTCTCACGCTTCACACTTACACCCCAAACCCCACTTGCGCGTCCCCAGAAATGCCTGTCTTACCTGCTAGTGTTTCACGTACAGTTGTGTGAGTATGCAGGTCAATTCCAGCTTTAACCATCTCATTGGTGACTCCTTCACTCAGCATCGAGTCAAAAGTTCGAAGAACCTGTCGCATAAAGCAGAGCGGTATATCACAATGAGTTTGATCTTTTATTTATTCTGCACTTTTGTATTTGGTTGGCGAAACAAGTGGTAACTGTAAACAAAGCAGAACTAACTGCTTAAAAAGAAATAGCTAATGCAGTCTGATCAGAAGAGCGAGTTGCAGGATTAATTTACGTGAGACGTTTTAGATGGTAAAAAGTATGGCATAGCCTCATGACGGTACAAACCAGAAAAAATGGCATTTAAGACTTTAAAAGTGCCATACGGCCACTTTGTTTAAGAGAAAACCTCATTAACACTAGACTGCAAAACAGTCGGTTTTTTCCTCCAAATCAGTAAAGAAATCGGTAACGCGTGGCGTAAGAGTCTTATGCGCGCGAACTGCGCGAGCCTCACGTGTGAGGCGAGAGAGAAAAAACCGACTGTCCGTCAACAGCCAACAGCCAACAGCCACATTAATATATACCTGCCAACTTTTTCTGAGATATAAGCGTGAGATTTTTATCCTGGGAGTGCTGGGATTTTTGAAGACGACACGATCATTTCCGAAGATTCCTGAAGAAGTCCGAAGTCGTCCGAAGTCTTCCGAAGCCGTCCGAAGTCTGCCGAAGTCTGCCAAATTCGAGCTCGCTCCCAGTGCTTTTCACTTCAAAAATCAGAGATCGCGAGGAAGGTATTGCCATTTATTCATTTTACACATGGTTTTCGTTCCTTACATGGGTCTGAGTTAACATATTTTTGGAAATTGTGTCAAGCAGGATGGCAACAACTCACATGTTTCAATCAGGCGTGAGAAATTGGCCCGCAGGCGTGAGCCGGCGTGAGATCGAAGTTTTCAACCCGCAGGCGTGAGAGTTGGCAGGTATATTAATATCAAATTCCTACGTACACATCTCTCCACAAATTCACCACCATGGTTTGTACCCTTTTTTGAACAAAAAATTCAAGGACTTTCAAGGACACATTTCCCATTTTCAAGGACCCCATTCAGTGCAAAAAAGAGTCTTGAGTCTATGTCTTTTTTAGTTCTTCCACAACATGAGTAATTTCATTTTCAAATTAGGCACTTAGGAATCTGGGTTGGATAAAGTTAGCACCGAAATTCAAGGACATTCCAGCACCAACTGCAATTTTCAAAGACTTTCACAGCCTTGAATCTTTATTGTAAAATTCAAAGATTTTCAATTGAAGGACTTTCAAGGTGCGTGCGAACGCTGCACCACTTTAATACAGCCAAACAAATCAAACATGCATATTTTTAAAGGACAGACCAGTGATAACTGATGTAGAAGAAAACAGTGAGAAAAGAAACTTATTTACTAGCCATGAAATATGACCCTTCTTCACTAGTACACTGTATGGCACCCTGTTAAAAAGCTTTATATTTTAATGGTCCATTAGTGGCCATATTTACCCGGGTTATATTTACATATAGTAGTAGTATACAGTACTGTTGTCAAATGGTTACCTTATCATATCTGATAAGTGATGAGACCTTAGAACCAAGAGCATTCAATATTCCTGCCAGCTCCACTGCTATATACCCTGCTCCAATGACAGCTACTTTCCTGATGTTCAAATAACAAACAAAAATAATGGTATCACCAGGTAAAAACAGAAGCACAAGGATGGGTATGATTTTTGGGGAAAAAAGCCCTTAGCTGCAGTGGACGATTGGGGAGAGTTCTATAGTCACAGTCTAGTTTATAGTTAATAGTTTGGTGCTTAGTCTAAGATGTATTTCATCTTGTTTTGCTGTGGGTTAAGGGTTGGGTTCCAGTGTTCCAGGGTACCAGAGGAAGACACTAAGCCTGAAATTCATGGAGAACCATCTCGACAATTTAATAATCAAGGATCATCACATCACTGACACCTACGTACTTTGGAAGATCCTCTAATTCAAAGAAGCCATCGCTGGTGATACCATATTGGCAGCCTGTTGGGGATAAATTGAGCAAACTGCATGTTCATCAAAGGTCATTGCTATCTACAGGGTGTATGTGAACAGGCAGACTTGTTGGATTTTTGTGCTTTTTTAATATTTGTTTTTTCTGGTGAAACTATTCAGTAAAGAAAAAAAGTCAAAAATAAGCCAAGGCTTGATGTATCAAGAATAAGCTTCTGCATTTCGCACAAAATCATGCAATCTCGTGATTAAGCTTATTAAAATTAATATTAGACCGTGATCTTACAAAATACATGAATGCAGTTTATGTTATTCAACTAGTAAATGTCAGCTTAGCAGTTTTTTCTTTCACAATCCCTGAGATTTTGTGCAAAAATTATGCTAATAATATTATCATACAACAAATTATTATTAAACTAACACAAATTTTGCATTGGTTATCCTCATGTCTCACCCAGAAAATTGGGTATTGTTGGTCGCCCTCCACAAGCAATCAGAATGTGTTTGGCACTGTACACATTGTCACCAACTTTAACATTTCCTTCTGGTGTAAACACTGCATGGCCAACAATATACTCCACCTTGTCCTTTGAAATTAATGTACAGTAAAAACCAAATTAAACTCTTCTAAGTTATAGTAAAATCAATCAATCAATCAATTGATCGATCAAAGGTTACTGTATCAGTGAAGAAAAAATTTTTTAGAAGAGCTTTTTTTACACCTCATTATTTGGCTGCAAATTCTCTTACCAAGAAAAACACTGTAACTATAATATTCTAATCAATATTTTAATTTACAATAGAAAGTATTACCTTTTGCAAATTGTTTTCATAAATGCCATTTAGTCTCTTGACATAAGCATCTCTTGAATTTTTCACTGATCTATAATAAAAACCATAATATTACACACTTTTCTCATTAAGAATGTTTAGTACATTGAAAACATTTTTAGTCAGCTGATGATGATAGATTTCAGAACAAAATATATGCTTACTCCCAAGAGAAGTTGTTCAGAGTGACATCAAACCCATAATCTGCATGATCATGTATATATTCAGCATGCACGGCAGTGTTAAACATCACCTACAATGGGGCAAAAGATAATGACATTAATATGTAGAGCAATATTGCACCAGGAAGGTGCATTAATTTTTATGATAAAAAAAATTCATGAGGAAGAGAGTTGTGACAAGAATTCAAAAATCTATTAATTCATGTTTGCTACAGTTAGGTCTGTCCGAAGAAGGATGTGAGAACCAGTTATTATAGCTGGATGTACTCCAGGGCCAAGTTGTTCGAAAAGTGGTTAGCGCTCTCCAGTGGGTAAATCTCTATCCAGTCGATAACACAATTGGTTTCCCTAATACTTTATGCTGGATAGTTATTTATCTGGTGAATGGCATTATGATTTATCCAACATTTGAACAACCGGGGCCAGTTTATTTATAAGTAGATAATTTCCCTGAGAGGTCTACTTAGAATATTAATGAAAGCATAGTTTCCTTCATTTGCAGAGTATTTAAGAAAGTAAAAATAAACTAACATTATTGCTGGATGGTGATCATCCAGTAGAATCACTAACCTTCTTGGGAACACATCCTACATTAACCTGGTAAAAATGTAGAAATGGACAAGAATGTGTTAGGGCCTGTTTACATGGAGGTGGGGAACCCCAGGTGAGTGAGGTAACACACTTAGGTTGGACATGTCTGTCCATATAATCATGTAAATGTGATCAAATTAAAATGAGACATTATATGGACAGGCAGGTTACCCCACCTAAGCAGGTTACCCCGCCTACCTGGGGTTCCCCACCTCCATGTAAACAGGCCCTTAATGTGGATAAAACTTTTCAACAAAGTGAACTTTCACTCAATAGTTTTAAATAAAATTAGGAAATAAGATGCTTAAGATATCTTCACTCAAATGCGGTGAATTTAAGGACTGTTTTGTGGATTTTGGCTTATATATCAACTTGCTAGAAAAAGAGATGCTTCTCACAAAAGGGGGTCATGAGCACCCAGGCACCCCCTCTAGATACATTATGTGGGAGAACCTCAGCTCCCCCACCCACCCAACGGACCACTAAAAGTACTGACAACATTAAGTGGTTCACAAGTGTATTATAATGGATGAATATGTTGTCTACAATGACTGTGCAATTTATTTCTTTAATAAATTAATGTTAATTTAATGCTATGTCACGTTGTTTCCTTCTTATTTGTCTCTTCTGGATATTCTAAGCAGTCAGTTTAAATTGCAAATCAATCGTTTAAAACCTACTGATTTTTGCCTTTCATTCACCTCACATTAAAAAGATTTCACACCAAGTAAATAAACACGAACTACTGCAACCGAACTGTACTCATCTCTCGATCTCATAATGTAGTATTTAGTTTTGGAAAAAAGTAAATGCTATCAGCGCATCTGATCTTGATCACATGCGAATTTGTGGGAAGCAAAAAATAAAATTCAAAAGACAATCCTCGCCTATTTTGATGCTGTCAAGGCTTCATGTATTTTTCACACCTCTGACTGAAATATTACACCTTGTATGTCAAAATTTGATCCCTCCTTGTTGATGGGTGACAAATGTAATCAAACGGAGAGGAAGGCAACATTCAGACAAAATGCTCTGGAAAATCGATGAAATCTCTGCCAACTTATGGGCGTAAACCGGGCCGATATCACTGCCGTATGACCAGCCCCGCAGAACAAACAGATCTCGCTTTAGAAGATGGCTTGATAAAGTTGTACTTACGCATGTTCCCCCAAGTCGTCCATGTTCGATAACGGCAGCTTTGGCGCCAAGAAGTGCAGCTCTACGAGCGCTAGCAAGACCACCAGAACCTCCACCGATTACAAGATAATCGTATGTTTGAACTGCTTGACTCATCATGAAACGGAGTGACAAACGCATCGGTGAAGTGAAAGCTATTGATTTTGTTCCTTTTTGTCACGCTCGGTTGTTTTCCATTTCCTTCGGCCCGGCTGGAAAGAGTGAGGGACTGGGATGGAAATCGCGCGGCCTAAAACCTGGTAACCAGTGTTTTAGAACCAAGATGGCGACCGATTTGTGTTTGTAAAACATTCAACAATTCTAACTTTTTGTTGTTGTGTAGGGAGACTTTGGGACTTAAAATGTGGTGAAAATCAAAGAGTCTTCCGTCGATATTTCTATTTTTAAAGTTTGGTTTTACAGAGATAGCGTTTTGGATGTGATTCCTAGTTTGTTTATGGTTGTCTTTATGTTGCCAAGAGGCAAAAGTTTGCATTAATTTCAAGATCATCATCTTTGATTCATTTCAAGATCTTGAAGATAACACAAGAGAACTGTTCACTTGACTTGCTTGGTCTGCCACGGACTTCTCTTTTGTTTCTTGCTTTATTTTCTTGGATTATTACATTCAACACTAGTTGTGAAGATTCTGAGCCCATACTACAAGCAAAAATTAACCGCACTGTATGGGGATGTCTCAAAACTCCAAAAGATCTTAGACTTAAAGGAAACTTGGTAAATTATTATACCATGGAGAGCACACTTTAATGGAGATTTTATAGCTACTGTTATGCAAGTGAATCCGGATCCTTGAGATTTTCAAGCAGTTAGAGCTGTCAGATTATCATCTGGTGATAGATTAAAGACCACATCACAGTAAGGTTGATCTTCTAGAGGTTGCAATGTCTTTACGAACCAGGATCAATGGTTTCACTGCCTGGGTAAATCTCAGACTGTCACCTTCTGGTCACTTCATGCATAACATCCTGACAGATTTACTGAAGGGATACAACATGAAGGTGCTTCTTGAAAGTAAGTGTCACTTCCGGTGAAGGTTGGAGATAAGCATACAATGTAGAGATGGTGCACAGTCACATTCACACCAGCTCAGACATTCTTATGTCTGGGCCAGCCATAGGCATATTAATGCCACTGAGTTAGTGCAGTGCACTTGTCCGTTGTGCCGCAGGCTGTGGGCTCAAAACTCCACCACACCAACTCTTGTGGTTTTGAAATAAATAAGGAGATAGTACTGCTTTTAAGGCTTTGACTTTCTAGTCTTCTCAGATAAGGATGATAAAGCATATATACCTGTATATAATGAACTGTAAATTCAAGCATGTCAAGCCCATAATCTCATTTGCTTGTCATCACCCTTGTCTTCTAGGTTTAACTGGAAAGCCCCTGGAAAAACTGCAAAGTTTTGATGGGTATGTGGAAAACTCAAATTGTTATTTTCTCCTTGTACAGTGTAGAATGACTTAATGTGCTGCAATAATGCTGACCCGTAGTAGTAAAGGCTCATTCTATCTAGCAATGGATTCAGACTCGTAATCAGAAGTACAGAGCATTAGGATCTAACAAAGACATCATTTCTATAATCAGAGTCAGAAGCAAAAGTGGACATGCATTGTGATTGGTCCCTTCACTAAATTAGTTTTCACTTGCTTATAAGGGGCAGAGTCATGAATTATGGAATTAGCTGCTGAATTTGAGTGTAAGGAACTCCTGTCTTGCAGACACCATGCTATTATTGACATCCCCATGATACAGACAGTAATTACTGTAACCTTAGCAAAAATGAATTACAGATGTTACTGAAATAAGCTCTTGCTATTAAAGAATCGTGCTTCCACTTGCAGGAGTCCTGATCAAGAAGTGTCCTCAATAAAGGGACTTGACTCAGTGTGTTGCTAGTTAAAATGTCTTTTCATATTTTGTAGTACAACAAAATATTGTTACTGGTGTCAAATTTTATTTTCTAGGTTAACCCAGCAGCAAAAGACTACAAGAGTTGAGTGGATTGTTAAGGAGCTAAAGCATGCGTGAGTTAATAATTATTAATTATAATTAGTCTCAGCAAGCATCCTCAAAGATACCCAATGCTTTATTTGAAAACTGCTCACTTTATTGTCTGTGTGGACAAGTAGTTTCTGTGCTTAAACAGGATTTGTTGTTTTCCTAAACAAATAAAAATTTTTATTTGATTTCTTTACAGAAAGATAATCCCTAAGGACACATATGTGGATTCTAGAATGTTTGCCATGCGGTGTGCAGATCAGGTACATGAATCATTAAGACTGAAATTCTGCATATTAAAGCGTCCTCACTATCAAGGTGCAGAGAAGATGAACATTAACCCAGTCCTAATTTTCAGTATTCATGAACGTTTGTTTAGCGAGGCATTAAAAATGTTAAGATTGCTATAAATCTTTAACATTGCGGTATGCTAATTTCCTCCATGATGATTGACAGGTATTTGACTTATTATGGTGCTTGGTGTGTCATGATATTTGGTTTGTCTGGGAGCGATCAGAATTCCTGCAACAGGCTGAGGGACAAACTCTTACATCCAAGCCTTTCTCAGTAAGTAAAACAAGAGCCCTGTATCTTAATATCATATGATAATTTAATGTAATCCCAAAGCTCGCAATGCCAGTGGTGGACAAAACACTGACCCCCAGTCCATGGGCTACCCCCATGGACTGCCCATATGGACTACCCTAAAATAGACTACACCACTGAGGTTTAGTGATTAAGGATAGGAAACTGAGTGAATCAGGTTCCATTTAGGGTCACTATATTGGGAAAACTGTCCTGAAACTTGATTCACTCAGTTTCCTAACCCTAATCACTTAGCTCCAGTGGTGTAGTCCATTTCAGGGAAAACCATGTGGGAAGTCGATGGGGTACTTATGGACTGGGGGGTCAGTGTTTTGCCCACCACCTTTAATGCCAGTTACTTCATATACGAGGCTCAAAAAAAGTGCTGTCTGGTCACCAGGGACTAGTAGAATTTCCTGCCAGGAAAGTAACTTTTCATTCTCATTTGCCTGAAGGTCAAGGGCCTAGGCAAGTTATCTGCCCACTAAATTAAAGTTGAAAAGTGAATTTATTTAAGACTTGTCTGGGAAAAGTAAAATTTGAGAGATTCTTTTCGTAAGGCTGAGCTGGAATCCAGCTTTTCTTTTAAGCCCTGCTGTACATGGCAGGTATGGGGGAAGTATTGTTGGGGTATACTGAATTTTAATTTATATTCCATTTCCATTCTGTTTTCAAGTGGACACCCCCACCACCACCCCCAAAGACACCCACTCACAAGGTAGAAAAATCCATGTTGGCAGGATTTGGTTCAAAATCACTGATTCAGACACCAATTGGCACCCCAGAGGTAAGTCAGAACTGCTGAACGAAAATATATTTTTTATTTAATATTATTATTCTTCTGTATTTTTATATTTGCTACTCTTCATATCAACTCATAAGGGTCAAATTTTCGAGTGTGTGATATAATATTTTACAAATGTTATTGTCAAACACTCAAAATGTTGTCAAACTGAGTATTGTCTGTTAAACCATCTTCACATTATTATTATCGACTTGACAAATGTTGCCAAGTCAAGTGGGTCACAACATGCTCCACACTTATGAAGGTTAATTTTTATCACTAATAAAAGAGTTGGTTATTATGTTCTAATTTCAAACTTCTTGCTCTTTTTCCAGCTGCCGTCTCCAAGCCCAACAAGCACTAGGTACTATTGACAAACTTACAGATGTTTTTAATAAAATAAAGTTGTTAGGTACTTCACTGTAACAGCGGAACTTCCACGCGCGCACGTGCTGCGGAGCCCCATTACTAAGATGAATTGGAAACCTATGAAAGCAAGAAAATTTGGTTATGACATAGCATACGCCTGCCCACCCACCTGTCCGTAGACACACCTCATGTAAGCCGGTGCTGAATGTCATGTTATTTAGGCGGGAAAGCATACTATATGGCCACCCGCGTCTTGTGAAGCCAAGACAACAAAAGAGTCAATACAGACAAAAATGGAAAACGGAAAATGTTTCTGTATCCGTGTTGTGTAAAGTATTAAGCTTAGATTAATAATTGTGGTGTCCACAAATTTGGAATATAGAGAGAGAGAAAGAGGGAGAAAATGAGATCGTAGGGCAACAGGCCAGTGAAGCGCAACAAGTAAAAGAACTAGAGCAAGAGAGAAAAAACAAAGGAGACATTTTTTGTTGGAGGAACAACATCAAATTTTGTAGCGGCCAACAGGGTGAAAATGAGCAACGGTGAAAAAACAAAGTGAACAAGAACACGTACTACACTTCCTTCATAAAACGTGTAACCAGGAAGTTTTTGAAGTTTCACGTTGTAGTCGTGCAAAGCAACGGCAAAGAAATGTACAAAAAATTGTGCTGCACGTGCAAAGTTGCTTTTGTGCTAATTAGGCCTATTTTTCACCTTTCTCGTTGCCTTTGCTGCTTAGCATTACACGATTTTATATATTGTTTGAGCAATCTACAAATATTATCCAGAGCTTCACTTTTGGTCGTGGCTAAATCGATATATTAGTGATCAGTGAAAGACCATTCAATGTTTTTCTTTGTTAGTTCAAATACTCAGTCATTCAGATCGTGAGGGTTGTCAACAAAGTCACCAAGGATTTCTACCGAAAGGTCAAGGCTTAATTCATTATTCCAGCTCTAAAACAGTAGTTTTTATGATTTCTTGTTACTATTACTGTTCTTCCATTGACCAATAGCAGGTCAGATGATATGGTAACCAAGCGCCGCAGATCAAGGAATTTTCCATCACCCGAGTATTGCATTCTGGACATGGTGAATGCTCATCTTAAAATGAACAGAGAGGGACGCAAGCTTACAAGGGGAGTTTTGGTAGGTATCACGAAGTTTGAGACTGATGTTTAAATTCTTTGTGAGTAACACAGGCATTTTAGAAAAAAAATCCAAGTTCTTCTAACAGGAGTCAAAAGTTCTGTTTCTAGTCCAGGTGCTCTTGACTAGTATTCAGCTACAGAACACTGGTGGGAGCTAACAAAGTTTTTTTTCCTTTGAGTACGCGCGGTAAATTGAACGTTTGTGATCAAATAAGTCGCATGATGAGTTCGCAGTTTGGCTTGGCAAATATGTTATCTTAAGTACTTGTGTTTTTTTTTGTGAAAATGTAGTCATGTTTATTTGAACGTTTGTTTGGGCTTAGTGGTCTAAAACATCGATCTTTTATGTTCTATCTTATGCAGAGTTTAAGCGACCTAACAGACAGCAGGTATGTATGTGAATACCGTTAGAAAACTCTTATTCCATGAAACAAATAATTTTCTTCAACTTTGTTGCTTTAAAGTTCCTTTAAGCTCCGTCACGACCAACGTCAAGATAAGTATAATACACCGAGATTAACTCTAATTTGTTGATTTTTTTTTTTTGTCATTAGGGTGCTTTGTGCTCTTGTTAATTCATTTGTTCCAGAAACATTCACCACGGAAGTCTTGCTAAATGACAGGTTTGATATTAAGCGACTTAGATTTAGTTTCATAGGGCACACGAATACTTTTTTGAAACTAAATTAAGGAAAGTCTCCAAAACTATTTACAACGGCCTTTTTTTCTTTACAGATGGACAATAAATCTCGCCTTAACCACTGCAAATCAGATGTTCAAGTCCTCAAATCCGTTCGACTCGCAAGATTTGGTCGAGGTATGTAAGTACTAAAAATGTTGCGTTTCCTCGTGAGCAGTGTTACCCTGCGAAAAGAGGCTACATTTTCGAGGTGTGAACTGTGAACTTTTCGAACGCCAGCTCAGGTAGACCAATGAGTGATGTAATTCGTGAAATTCGTGCGGATATATTTCTTTGCGTTTTTAGCTGTTATTCTTACATGTAACTCTTAAAAATAAATATTTCTGCTTAACGTCCTTTCCTATTTCTCAAGCACGGTTTTTTTTTAATTCTTGGTAGGGTGACATCATGTCCGTGTGTTGCTATTTCGCCTTTTTCTTCATGAGCGGATACAAGTATCGACAATCAAGAGCAGCACTCAAACGATTGGTGAGTATGTTCTCCTTACAAGCACAGTGCATTGTTTAGAAGAAGTCGGTTAGAAGAATTTAGAGGCTCATATTATAAGCAATTTAACAAGATAGGTGAGTATGGTGCTTTTGACTCGGGAAAAAAATGGATAGGACAAGAGGACAATATTCCTCAAAGACTTTGTGGTGTATTTTGTAGGATGAACTGAATGTTTTAAAAATCGGAATCAAGGACGAAATGGAGCAGTTCCCATCGCTTATAACGAACGTGAAGGATCTAAAAAGAAAGAAAGAATTGGAAAATCTGATATCAGTTTACGATGAAGGTAGGTCTACTACCACGAATATTGTAAAGCGAAAATAGGGTGCCAACAAAAGTCGTTAAGGTTTGAACCAATCATCAGCTGGCCAATTCTCAATGGTTTCAGTATAGTCTTGTTACATTCCAAGTTTTTTTTGTTCATATTCAAACTGATCTGTTTTCAGAAATTCAATTCTTGGAGCAAAATTATGACATCGTCAAGTGCAATATATGGATGAGACAAGTCGCGGAGATACAGAATAAGGTTAAAAAACTGGTGGATTATTTTTTCGTTTCATCGGTTTATCATTCTTGAGTATTAACTGCACTTTAAGACGTTTCGTTTATACTTCATTGCAGTGCAGAGCAATAGTCGCGGAGAAAATTGTTCAAAGATTTGATGTCGTCAAAGTCCCCAGGTACCGTATGTTAAACGTAGCTGTGGTTGTAAATTATCATTCTTTTGAAGTATCATTATGCCTTTGCGTGTTTTTATGCTTTGTCTGTGCTTATATACGCAAACATTTAGTTTGTAGGTTGCTTTTATCTTCCTTGTACTCGTTTTGGGTAGCTGTAACAATTACGCACTAGTAATAAGAACAACTTAAGGCCGGCTCTTAGCAGTCACTTTGTGTTATCTGTTTGTTGTGGTTAATAATCGTTACGCCAATATATATAACTTGAACTTTTGCAAATGTAGAATTTTGAACTAGTTTTCTAATTTGATTTACTGCGTTATATATTTAGCCCCTTCAGAGATTTCAACCCTCCCGTTTTGGTTTCTCAGCCATTTGTACCCTTTTGGCATCCGACCATGAGCCCGCGATAATTTTGGGCGCAGTATTTCCATTGACTGTGATCTCAAAATGCAGGAAATGGCCCCCAGGACCCCCCTATGAGGCTCGCACTTTCGGCGCTCTTGGGAGCGGCTATGCCGCTCCTAAGACCTCCCTCTTTTTTAGTTCACAGAGTTGGAATCTTTGCGGCCCTTTTTCCGCTAAGAAATCAACTGTAACTTGGTTGGTAGAGTTTGTTTTTCACGCGCTTGCTACAAGCCGCTTGGTTTGCCTCGCGTTCTGATTGTCTGTGCCTTTTGAGAATGGCTAGAATAGTTTCTATGGCTACAGGTTAATGACACCTAAGTGGACACCACTCTATCTGTACGTTTTATCAGGAGGCTAAAGGCCACTGGTTTTATTTACTGTTGTTGTTGTTACTGTTATTACTTTTCTGGCAGGAATGTTACAATTAATGATCTTGCAGTGGATCTGATTATTAACCTGGTAAGCTTTTTCCGTTTAATGTTTTCACTACCCCCTCACCCCACCCCCTCCCAAACTGAAAGAGACAAATATTTGAAGTAATAATAATAAAAAAAAAACACATTTAAGAATCCTAACTTTTACAAGCGTGGCCGAAGATTTGAACTTCGAACTACCAAGATTAAATCCACAGTATGCCATGTGTTAATATATCATACTAAATTAATGCAAATATGTGGGAAATAGCCGACAGTCGATATGTCTTTATTTTGCTAACTTATTTTCAGAGCCTGACTTGTGGTACAGGATTTTACAGTAGCAAGGTGCATGAAACAGTTTGGAAAGGTCGTAAACTGGTTTTGAGAGACAAGGAAACAGGTTAGGAGAATTTAGCTTAATTACGAAGCCATGACTACTTAACTATACTCGTCTAGAAGTTCTAGAAGTTTTATAATAAGTATTTGTTTTTGCAAATTTATTTTGTCTTTTTGTCATAATAGGGGAATTTTTTGATGACTTCTCTGGAAATGCTGATCAGAAAGGTAATTCCCACCTAACTGTGCACTGCGTACTGTTTCTGGAGATTTTTTCAGCTCATCTATTTGCTCCCATTTTAGAAACGGTCCGACAAATGCTTGGCTTGGAAGAAGAACAAGTTGCTGAGATAAGTGGTGACAATTCGAAATATGAGGTAATGCTCATTTTCCACCTCGATTTACATGTATTATTTTTTATGAACTATCGCCTTATCTGAGATCCCTGTGGCTGGTGACCTTAGCACCTTTTACCAACCGCCTCATCCATCTCATTTTCAGATATATTTTGAAAGCTCTTCAAGAAATAAGACTTTGAAGGCTGGATCCTGGTATGTTAAAAGATAACTTCTCTAAGGCATGGCAAACAGCCCTTGTAAACAAATAATTCAAATACAACATAACAGGATAAAAACCCCAACTGCCAGGAGGCAATCACTTGGCTATTTACAAGCGTGGCTGAGACCGCTGGATTGCGAGTCCGACTTCCTGTCCCCTCTCCCTCTGCACGCTGCCTCCGAATAAGGTGCTAACAATGCTCTTAGCAAGGCATAGAGCTGTTTGTGAACAGATATGGACATTATTCAACATAAGAACAGCCTTATTTTCATGAACACTGATTGTTAAAGTTGATTTTCTTCAGCCTACAATTGTGACAATAACTTAGAAAAAATATACAAGTTAACAATTAAAATGGTTACCGTTAAGAGGATTTCGAGCAAACTTCCGTTGGCATTTACCCGGGCTGGCCGGCTAGTATCAATCGAATTTTTAATGCTTTCCGCGTATAAATGATATTGTCACCGTCAATGGCTGACAGACCTTTTTCCTTTTTAAAATGTCATTTTATTGCTAAGTTAATATTGGAAAGGCTGGTTTAAGTTGCGAGTAAACATTATGCCAAGGCACCAGTTTGTTATTTATCCCCTCTCGAAAAGTTGAAAGTTGACAATTACCACGAATAATGGTAGGAAATGCTTTTTTTCTTTTCCTTTCAGGTTCCTGTATCAGATTTTCCCAGGTACTACACTGCAATGTCAGCGGTTGTTGTTCAAAGCAGCAAAAACTGGAGAGCTGGATACTGTACAGAAACTGGTAAGCAAATTTCTATCTTTTAACTCTGCTATTGTATTAACTTCCTTCGCCTGGGTGGGAGGCTACGTTTCGAATGACTTTTTTTTTCCGTCCTTGCTTCGAGAATAGAAGTGCAAAACATTGCGATTAGTAACAAAAAGTGGCTATACCAAGACAGAAAAATTTAACGAGCCTATCATAAGGTGGTGATTGGGGTTTGATGTGCGGTAATGCGGTATCATCTAGCCCTGCGGTAATAGTGTGGGTTTTTATCCTTTTAGCTGACGGTATTTGGTAAAAGAAGATCCTTTACGGTATCACGGTATCACCTTCATTTGCGCTCTCCTGTCTAATACAGGTCAATACAATATGCAACAAAAAAAGCAGTAAGCTTTATCGGTTGATAAAAGTTGATGTTTTTAAGTCTTTAGACATAAATGTTGAATGATTACACCATGACAATTAATCTACGATGTCTGAGCTGGTGCATTCAATTTTATCCTTGGTTTAAATTTTAGGTACCGTCTTTCCCCTTGTTTTTAACTACTTCTCATACACTACCAGACCCGAAAACAAAGGGAAATAAAATTTAAACCAATAATAAAATTGAACCACAACACATACCTGCTTGAGATAATCAAACATCCTCATATGGATACAACTTTAAGTAACCAGGTTGACCTTTGTGAGATTACACAAGAAGCACATCCACGCAGACATAATAGAGCGTAACTTTGCGATAAAACACAACCAACATAAGATTGAAACTTTTCATTGACTTTTTTTTAACGTCATTCAACGTCGTATGTGTATGATAGAGGGGGACATTGGGTGTCGAAAAATCGACAAAATACCCATACTGCTACTGGGGTAGTGATGATTATAAATGTAGCATCGGTGTTTTGTCGATTTTTCTACTCCCAATTACAACGTCCCCCTCTATCATACACATACCACGTTGAATGACGTTAAAAAAGTCATTAAAAAGTTTCAATCTAACTTTGGTTGTGTTTTATCGCGAAGTTACGCTCTAGTACGTCTGCGTGCATGTGCTTCTTGAGTAATCACACGAAGGTCAACCTTGTTCTAGGCCAAACATTTCAACTGTCTGATATTGTGCGCTTCTCGGATAAATGCATTGATGTTCGGCCACTCATCTATATTCAGACATAAATATGTTTTGTCTAGACTGACCTTTGTTTCAATCCACATAGTGCATGCACGTAAGAGGCCTACTGTACTAGAAACGTTACTTCCGCCAAAAGATTGTTTTTGTCAGGAATATCTCATATCTCAATGCTAGTATCAGACTTTCCTATCAGTGGGGCTTCAGCACTGTACGATTGAGTTACTCCTTAGTAAGGTAACGATTTGAAGTAACAATTTTTTAATAGCTATATTTCATGAAAATTACAGAGATATTAAAAATAAAGAAAACTACACCAAGGAAACTGGAGAGGAAGCCAAGTAACCAAGATACGAAAAAAAAACTGAAAGTTTTTCTAAAATCACCGTCATATTTCATCCTATTTGATCTTATTTGACATCATACGTTCAAACACCTCTGAAACATTTATAGGTCATCAAAGCTGTGTTTGTCACAATCTTGCGCATAAAATAAGAAAATACACACATACTTTAAAAGAGCTTTTCAGCATCAATAGCACAAATATAGGTGGGAGTTCATTCAATTCTAAGACATCTAAATTCTGAGTTTACTAAAAGCTCCTCTATAAAAGCATCGCCTATATTTACGGTATGCCAAACTTGATTGACATTTTCTTCTTAGTCTTGTTCACTTTGCAGCCGTGATAACCTAACAATAAAAAAGCAAATGGAATGAAATATGCCGGGATGTTCTAGTCAGCACAAGACTGCAAACAGTCTTGTTTTTCCTTCAAAGTTAATAGGGTAGTACAATATACGCGCGTGTGCGGCGAAGCGAGGCCCGAGAAACGGCGCCGAACTCAAGAAAAGAGAGTCTGTTTCACAATAATCACCGGATGTTTAGAGGGATGCGCTGCTTGACCTGCTCTCGTGGGGAAGTGTGTTGTTAACTCAGTTATACTGTGTTATTTCCGTGAATGAAGGTAGGACGTGTGGAAGCGTGTGGAAACATCTTTTTATTTTGGAAGAAGGAGAACTCTGTTAAACACCAGAAAGCTCAGAAAAAAATTTGAGCTCCAGGTGAGAATCCAACTCACGACCGTCCGAGCTCTGGTTCGAATGTTATTCCCTGAATCGAAAAAGATTCTGGACCAAAAAAACTTCTTCAGCGAACACTTGGACATTCTACCTTCAGACCGCCCGTTCAAACTCAAATTATATGTTTTATGAAAGTATTTCATATGGGCCTACAAATGCGATCGCTTTGTCTCGGCGCTTAAACACTTAAACACACAAGATGAATTTTCTTGATATTTTATCAACTTCTCCCCACTACTTCTGTAGGAAATGAATAGGGGCAACAAATGAGAATTCAAGTTTTGATCTTAGGCTTTAAAGGGTTAAGATGATATTAAGTAAATAATGGCGTAGTTTCTACGACCAACATCTCACAACGACGTTTTATTCTTTTAAAAGCCCTAACAAACCTAACTGGCTTTTTCTTTCGTTATGTTTCTCGCGGGGACGCGCCGTGTTTTCGAACCTCCAAATGGAAACAGAAACTAGCAAACAAAGCTAGAATAGGTTCTTCCCATATTAAGATTATATTAAGGAAATAATGTCGTAGTTCCTGCGACCAAAATCTTACAACGACGTTATATTTTTAACAAACCTTAACTGACTTACTTGCATTTTTCTTTCGTCGTTTTCCTCGGGAACGCGCCCGTTGTTCTCGACGCTCCAAATGGGGGTCTCCTGCTTTCCATGTACCATTCCAGTTTGCCCCGTTCTGTGTCCTGAATCTTCCATTCCAGTATCGTGAACTCTGTTTAGGTTACTTTCAACGGCTCTCAGAACTGAGTATATTTTCTTCAAGAAGTACATCACAGTGGCCATCAAGACAAGTAATACAAGGCTTATTATTCCGGTCGTCATGATTACAATCGTAGCAGTCGTAGCTGTTGGCTTGAAGTCACTTTTGAATATTCAGATTTGTATTGTCCAGGAATTCTGCACTTTTTATGTTTCGTCAGCAATAAACATCTGAGAGGATGTTCTTCGAAACAATACGACAAAGCTTGCAATACTCCACTCACGCTTCTTCGGATATCTGTACGAGTCACGAGTACTGTGCACCTTCCAATGACAATACAATGTTCCACCGAAAGCGACAGTTTAAATACACAATTGCTCCGGTCACGAGTAATTAAACGGCCTCCAACGCTTGTCAAGGCAAACTGACTTTTGAAACGTCCGCGGGTCTATTTTTAGAAGAGC